ATATTATTTTTAATAATAAATTTAAATTTATTAAATATTTTATTATATAATTAATATTAATGGTAATATTTTATTATTTTTTTAATTAAATTTTTATTAAAGTTATTATATTTAATATATTTAAAGATATTATATAACCGCGTTATTATTAAATAATTAAATTATTTATATATTTAATATAATTTACTTTTTATTAAATAGTTATAAATTATTATTATATTATAATTATTAAATAAAAATTAAAGGTATTTCCATTTATATATTATAAAGTAATGTTTATTTTAATGTATTAAAATATTATTAACGTTATTTAAATAAATGTTAAAACGGTTTATATCTTTAATATATATTAAAAAAAGTATATTTAAAAATATTATATAAAATTTTATAATGCCGAAAAGGGTTAATACATACGTTATCCTTAAGTTAAATAACCAAAAATTATCATTAAAAAATATAATATATTAACTTGTTATCGTGGTGTTTAATTTAATGTATAAATATGTTACTTATAACGCTTTTAACTATGGTTTTTTTTCAGAAAAAATATTTACAATACTTATATTAAACATTATATTTTAAAAGATAAAAACGTATTAATTTTTTAATAAAAATATAATATTTTTTATTAATATTATAATTATTAAATTATTTATAACTAATTTATTAAAAATGTTAAATTTTATTATAACGTAAAAAATAACTTAATTAATTAAGATATTAATTACTTTTTTACTGTTTATAACGTTATATAAAATTATAAATTATAATATATATTCTTTATTTATATTTTTAATGTTATTATTAAATTGATTAATATTATTTTTAATATTAAGGTTTTTAAGATTAATTTTTTCGTAATTAACCAAAAATTAACCATAATTTTTGTTAATATTATTGATTTAATTATTGGTTAAATAACGTAACCATTTATTACATTTTTTTTAACATTTTTTTCAAAAATAACAAATAAATTAATACCTTTATTTACCATATATAAAACATTTTTTTATTATAATGTTTTATTATATAAATTAATATAATTAATATAAAAGTTTATTATCTTTATATTTTTTATTTATTAAATATTAACTGTTATTATTTTATAATAAAAATATATTGTTAAATAATTAATAATATATATAAATATTTATTACATTTTATAAATTTAAATATAAAATATTAAAAATATAACCAAATTTAATAATAATTATTTTAAAAATAAAATAACTTTATATAATAATTAATAAATTATATATTAAATATATTTTATTATAATAATTATAAAATAAATTGTTATAAACGTTTTAACGTTTTAAAATAAATATTTTTAAATATTTTAATAAAAATTTACCAAAATTTATAATTTATATAATAAAAATATTTATATTAAATTATTTTAATATATATATTTATTTTTTTTTAATAATTTAAAAAAATATTTTTATATAATAAATCATTTTATTAAATAAATATTATTATTAATTATTTATAATTAATTTTATATAATAATATTTTAATATTTTTTTTTTAATATAATAAAATAAATAATATTTTAATCTTTAAAAAATAATTTAATAATATTATATAAATTATTAAATATTTATAATTTTTTATTAAAATTATTATATTTTTTACCGCCATATTTCCATTTATTATTATAATATAATTTTAAAAATATAATTAAAATTTTAAATATTAATAAATTTATTAAAAAATATTAATAAAATAAAATATAATTAAATCTATTATTTTATTAATATTTGATTTTATTTTATACGTTATTAAATAAAGTTATTAAATAATATAAGGCAATAATATAATTTATAAAAATTTTTTTAAAAATTACATATTACAATAGTTTAAAATAAGTTTATAATTTTATAAATATAAATATTTAAATAAATTTAATTATTTATAAAAACATTTTAAATTTAATGTTAACCTTTAAATCTGTTTTTTTTATTTTATCTTATAATTATTATAAAAAAATAAAAAATAAAATTTATAACAATAATAATTTGTAATATTAATAGGTTATTATTAATTTTAATAATAAAAAAACCTATTACTGTTTAAATTCTTTAATAAATATTGGATTATTTACATTATAAAAAATTATTAATATTTTTATTAAGTTTTAAACGTTTTTATTAAAAAATTAAGATTAAGTTAATGTTATAAAAATTTTATATATAATAATAATATATATATTAAACTTATAAGAAATAATAATGTTATAAATTTTAAAAAATTTATAACCTTTTGTTAATAAATAATAGTTAATAAATTTAAAATAATTAAATATTTAATTTTAAAAATTATTTTTATAAACCTTTTACAAATATTTATTATATAAAATATTTTTATAATATTAAAAAATTTTAATAAATATAAATAAAAAAATATCTTTAATATTTAAAATATTTGTTAAAAATATTAAAAAATTTATATAATAATTTTTATATTTAACCTTAATATATTTAAAAAAAGTTTTAATTATTTTAAATAATTATAAAAATAATATAAAATATATAAAAATAAAGGATTAAAAAATATAAAAAAATAATAATAAAATTGTTAAAAAAAGAATTTTTTTATATATAATAAATATAAATTATTATTTTACAATATTTAACACATATTAAACTCAAAAATTATTTATTATTTATCGTTATTAAATAATTTTAAAATAATTTAATTTATTTCGAAATAAATATATTTTAATTCTTTTTATTTTAAATACTTTAAAATAAATATATTTATTTTTTATTAAAATTTTTTATTATTTATAATTATTTAATCAATTATTAATTAATATTAAAAAAATAAAATTTATATATAAAAAATAATATTTAAAATAAAGATATTTTTAAAAAATATTATATTATTTATTATATTATTATTTTAATAAAAATTACGCTTACATGGCCAATTGCTTTATAAAAGTATAAATAATTAACCAAAGTTAATAAACCTTATAATTTTACCTATAAATTAATGGGTTGTTACAGGGTAACCTCGCGGTTAAATAACCAATTAAATATTATTTATTAATAATATTTTAATAATATTATTTAATTTTATTATAATATAATAATTAAAAAACCGATTTAAATATAATTTAAATTATTATTTTTATATTAATTAAAGTTTTAAAATAATATTAATTATAACGTTTAAATTATTATTTTTATAAAATTATTTAAATATATTATATATATATATATATATATATAAAATAATTAAATAATTTAAAGTTAAAGTAAAAGTTAAATTTAATTAATTAATTTTTTAAACTTTTTAAAAAAATGGCTTATATAATTACGTTTATAACTTTTTTAATATTTTTATTAATATTAAATTAAATAATATATAATTTAAATTATAACTTTTATTATTTATTAATTAAAATATTAATATTTTTTTAAAAAAATTTAAATAAATATTTATAAAATTATTATATTATTAAATTTAAAAAAAATATGTATTATTTTATAAATTATATATATAAAATAAATAATTAAGCTTATATTATATCTTTAACGTTATTATTACCTTATTAAATATAGTGCTACCAATTTTTTTGATTTTGGCATAATTGCATTAATGGTCCACTATAGCCATAGCCAATCCAGGTGAAATTATGATAAGCTGCTGCGCCTTGCAAAACCTATTGGTGGGTGTAAGTACGCCCGCCGTTTCTTGGCGGTGGATTCAGCCACTTCGCGGTAATAGGAAGGAGGCTACGATGGATGGGAATCTAGGTATGTCATACTCTTGTCGAATTGGAAAATCCTACGGGTCTCCCCTGGGGTTTTGTAAGTCGTGGCATACGTACCTAAGAATGTTGGACCTCGTAATGACAGGCCATAGGCCAACAAGTCGAAAGTAGCAAGTGGGTAGATCAATTGCCAAAATTATTAACGTTTTACAATCTTGTAAAGCAACTTATAAGACTTGGGGCTATTGCAAGATCAACAGAAAAGGAGTAAGGCCGTCGAAGGACGATGGTATATATGAGGTCATTGAGTAATATTTAGCTAACAGGTTGATAGGCTGGTTATAAGATGTGGTTATACGTCGAAGAGGCAATGTTAGGTCATATGCTGTCAGTCTTTTTCGTTCATCCAATGCCAGGCTGGTTTAGCATCTACTAAGTCAGTAAGTTCACTTCTCTTAAGATATACTAGGGGATGATCAACACGGCTGAAGAATAGTTTAATACTAGCTAAGTAGTTAAATTCCATAACTGTAGATACGTCTTTATCATTGTAACCATCTCATTATTACTGTCATCTTCTTCATCCTCATCCTCATCAGTGCTATTGCCTCTTGCTGCCTGCATCACCTCTTCCGTAATCTCAACATCATACTGTCCGTTTAAAATAAGCGCCATATTAGACGTCGCATCCCGTCCCTTGCGGCTCGCCACCGTTTTGAGCACTTCTTCGGTGATAGGGACGTGTCGTCCACACCTCAGAAGAGCCCTCATGCTCCCCCCTGAAGATCGAGCAGCAGCGATAACAACATCTTCCGTGATTTGGCAGTCCTCGTCCCACTCGAGCAAGAACTCGAACATCTCCTGCGTATACGAATCGTTCCGGGCTGCGATTTTGAGAACGTCCCCGATGTCGAGATCGTCTTGATACTCCAGCAGGATTTTGGTTATGTGTCTACGTCGCCAATCGGTTTCCGCTGCTAGCTTTAACATGTCCTTCGTGATGCCAATGCGAGCTCTACCTAGCAATTTGTTAAATTTAGAAGCAAAAGCGCTGAGACCTATGTGGCGACCAAACAGATTCGGATTCCCAATTGCGGCCATGAGGACAGCTTCTGTGACCGGACATATTTTGTCATAATCCAGCAGCATTGGGAAAATCTCTGTAACATGGCGATTTACGGCTACTAGCTTGAGGACTTCCGGCGTGATAGTGACCTTTCTTCTTGACCCTAATAAGACCAATAATGTCGAGAAGTCGTGGATAGCTTCTTTCACCACTGCTTCCGAAATCTTCGAGTTGACGTCGCTGCGGTCCAGCCATACCTTCAAGAGTTTTGAGTTACCATTAGCAATGGATGCTTTAAGCAGAGACTCGGATATTTTGATGCTCGGATCGTGTTCCAAAAGTAGTGCGAAAACTCTTACGCCCCTTTTCTTATTCCTAGCCACAGCTTCCATGACACGATCTCCAATTGGTGTATCACCACCATAGTATAGTAATGTCTCGATAAGTTCATCTCCGAACTCTGAGTTTCCAGCTGCCGCTTCCAGGACTGTGTCTTCAATATGCAAATCGAGAATTTCGGCCAAAAGTAGTGGTACAAGTTCATTTCCAAGAGATTTATTAGCTGCTGCAGCCGCTACAACTCGCGGCGTGATTCGAATCCGGTCTACATGCTGTATGAGAAAGTTGAGTATCTTGGTTCCACGGCCATTGTTTTGTGCTGCAGCTACCAGATTGTCTTCACTTATGGCGATTCTGGGGTCGTGATTGAACAGCGCTTCGATAAGTTTGTCGCCGTGAAACTCATCGCTGACGGCATCCAAAATGATAGCTTCAGGGATGGAGATATCCGGCCGGCGCTTGAGAATGTTGATGAGGTCGTCTAATAGCCAACCACTTCTTGCTGCGCTAACCAGTACCGCCTCCGTAATGTTCACGCTGTCCCCTAAAGCCCGAAAGAGGTACTCAAAAATCATCGGACCCTTGTTCTTGTTTGACGCAACAGCACAGAGGATCTCTTCAGAGAGGACAATGTTCGCTTTAGTGTGCTCCACCAAAGTCTTCATTATTTGGTGTCCATCGACAGAGTTCCGAGCCGCGCCGAGGAGTACACTCTGAGCTATGGGAATATCCTCTTTATAATGCAAGACTGTTGACATGGACTCTTCACGGCCGCTTGAAGCGAGCGTGACGATGTCCTCGATCCCGGGTGGATGATCTACTTTGGCGAGCAAATACTTTAGCATCTCGCTGGAACATCCCATCGCTGATCTATACGTCTCTATATCTGCTGGGAGTCTACCGTAGTGATTCTTCAAGGCTTTTAGGACCTCAACTCCGAACCGCTTGTTTTTTGTGGCGCACGTTGTCATGTCCGGCGTAATGTCCATATTGTCGCAATTCCGTAGGATGAGTGTTATCACCCGCCCACTACTATAAGTTATGGCCGCTCTAACCAGCCTAGCAGTCACTTCAACTGGTTCCCTCCCGTTCAGCAGTTCCATTACCACTTCATAGGAGTCGTATATACATGCAGCATTAAGACCCTTTCGTCTCAGGGCTTGTCGTGCGGTAAAGTCAGTAGCCTCTCGCGTCAAGGCAAGCTCGAGAACATCGTTGAGATTGAAAACGCAGGCGGCAATGAAGGCATGAGCTGAATGCTTGGAAGAAGTAGCAAGTCTATCCTGCGCTTCATAAAGGGAAAGATAGTACCTCCCTATATTCCTCCTGTCGAGCGCCTTCAAAGGCTGTTCGCAAAAGCAGCAAAGTAAACCACGAAGTCCTTGGCGTTTGCGGTTGTCGGACTGGGCATGAGAGCTATGGGAGAGCGCGGCTATATGAATATAGGGTCCTAGTAACTCAGAAAGTATTCCTCGGCGGTATATATACCATAGGCAAATCTCTGCGATGAAGCCATGGCATGTTTCGTAAACAAATTCGTCATTGCAGTACTCGGAATTCATGAGATACTCTTTGACGGAGTTATGAGAAAACCTTACAAATCCACTATAGTCTGTAAATAATACCAAGTTACTGCATAGTTGGATAATCTTGTTCGAGTCGATAGTTTCGTGCCGTTCGTAGGATCTTCTCGACGGCATGCGCTCGTGCGAAAGGATTACCGCCTCGACCAGCTCTTCTGATGTTAAAGGTAGTAGAGAACATAAAACCCATTTGAGAGCATATGTTATAATGTTGCGGGCATTTTGACGACGCTTTTTTAATATGCGATCGTATGCTTCGTTTAATTTCGACAATTGGTCTTTGGAATGCCCGGTTATGGACTGCCCCTTTTCTAGATTCCGTAGCTCATTCTCCACGTCTTCTTCTAATTCAAATGGAAAACTTTCGTCGAAAAATATTTCAACTTGTAATTCGACCCAACGGAACCTAGTTGGAACATTAGAAGAATGCCTTAGTAGATAGGTACATATTGAAAACGAATACTAACACTCCCTGTGCATATTGAGTTAATGCGCGTTTGAACCTCTCTTTAAAACCCATACGGATCCAACCAGGAGGGGTATTATGCCGTGAGTCGATTTCCTTATTGATATAATGTTCTAAGTCCATGCGGGTTGTGTTTTCCCCGATTGTCAGACGTTGAAGATTCGTAAATACGTCGTCGAGTTCCATATGAAGACGGCTCGATAGGAATAACTTTATTTTGTTCGAGGAGCCTTCTTGTACACTTTTCAAGGTATCAAGTACACGGCGGGACGCAGGACATTCATCTAGTGCATCAATAATAATGACGGTTTCCGAATGAGCACGACAAAGTTCCAATATTAACTCGGAATCGTCCTTGTCAAGAATTAGCTGCTGAGCTCGGCCTCTAGAGTTATATCTGTCTGTAATCAATCGCTGAACTGAGACGCCATTTGCCGAAAATGCAAGTTGAAGAATAAGTGAGCGAAGCATAAAGTTGAAGTCATGGTCTATAGAACAATACACATGAACAACTTTTCGTGGTTTTCGTAGGCGATTATATTTGTAGAACCACTCGATAACCTCGGAGCTGTACTAAAGTCCATTAGCACCACGTCGTTTCGATAACAGGTGAGGAGGTTCAAAATAAAGGAGTGTCCCACCTCACGGATGTTTTGCCTGTGCCCACTACGTGTCGGATATTAGCATATAGGTATACTAAATATCTGGCTGTCTAGTAATTCACCTCCACCGCGCAGCCAGAATGTTGACCGAGTACATTCTTGGACATCGCTCCAGGCCGTAAATTCGGTCGATTCAATGAGCCACTTTCCTATATTATCATAGGCGCGGAGTTTATCTCTCGCTCGTTCGTGATCTACTCGGTGTTTGAAAATATGCGTGGGGTCATCAGATCCCATTATCCATCTAGCAATTGGCTCTATAAGGGATAACCTGTTTAAGTCATGATTTCTCACACAGAGGTAGATGGTCTAGTTCGGCTTGCCTGACTGTTGCTGTAGGATTGATTTAACATTTTGTATAGCCGAGCAAATTTTCACATAAAGATCGTCCTTCCTCGTCTTGCATTTATTTAGGCCGGAGTGATCGGTATTTATTGGTATATGCTTCCCAATATCAAGAGTAGCTGATTGAGGCCCTACAATCTGAAGATAAAGTTAGTCTTCATAAGTTAGAGAATACTATAAATACGTACTACACCAAGTGATACGCCGTAGCGAAATGTGGGTAGCGTTTCATAGAACGAATACACCAGTAGTGGTTTCCGGTTAATGATAGATGTTACAGCAGTAGAAAAATCCCTCTTTAAGTCCAGGAGTGCTGGGCTACCGTGGCTCAAGAGCTTCAACAATGTAGCATCGGACCCAGAGAGAATGGTTAGTCGAGCAAGAATCTCACCGATCCAAGAAATAGTAGAGCCTTGATGAGGCGTCCCTAAGAAGATAATCCCTACAGTATCGCGACTAATGTCTCCGAAGCGCGAGTCTGAATGTGCTGAGTGGATAGCCTTTAGAAATGTGAGCGGAATGCAGACAAGCCAGAGTGCTATACTTAGATACATACGTATTTGACTAGGATCCCGCCGAAGCTGTGGCCGATGAAGAGAATAGGGGGCGTTTTCTGTGAGTGATTAGTTAGATATTCGTTACTCTAGGAAAGGCGTACGTAGGTTTGAACCTTTGTCTTCTCCCTGAACTCTGAGAATGTCTCTAGAAATGTAAGAGCCTTCTGCGACGCTGTTGACAGCGAGGCGTCCACGAACCAATCGGCATTGTAACTATAGGAGAGGATCCTGACATTCTTGAAATCTTTCTTCAGGAAGTCATCGTGCTCAAGCCGATTAATTCCCGCTTCATCTCCTTCTGGCGCCCCGGCAGAGTCAGAGGGAGGCCCGTTAGATTTCCAGCTGTAATAGGGATGCGCGCCCAGGCCATGTACAGCTACTATACTTGACCCTACTATTAGATCTAATAAAACTCGACAACCGGCTGGTAACTCGACTTGGGTACTTACTCCAGATGCACTTCTTCGTAGTCGGCAAAGATGGTGATTCTGTCAAGGCTTTCTCGCGGCTCACGACGTGACGTCACGTATCGCAAGAGATATCTATGCGCTCCTACGACGCATAAGATTGTGGAAAGAATGAAGAGAATTGATCGCAATACAAAAGAATGTTGAGGGTTAAAAAGCTCCGGCGATATCATATCGGCGGGGCTGGAGGGGATACGAGCATGGAGATAGTTGCGTGGTATTTATGAAAGTATATGAAGTCTGACATGGACGAGGGAATTGGGCGCATATTATTGAAGATCCCGTCCCTTTTCGGCCCCCAAATAAATCATGGATACTTCATCGTCTAGAAGAAGCCAGGATAAGCCAATCACCAACGAAAAAAAAAAAAAAAAAAAAAAAGATGAATATTATAACCTACGAATCTAGTAAAAGAGACAGTTATCGCGTGTTCATAATTCTTGTATTATTTCAATGTAAGCCTGCGTACTTAAGTTAGACTATTGGTTCCCCTGGTACAAGTGGAAGTGGCATTGTTCTAGGAACTACTATAACATCCCAACCTTGTTCATCTGCTAATATGCTATCATTTTTCTCATTTGCATAACGGTGATATTCTGCGACACCAGCCTCATTCCCCGTAGCGCTGATGTAAGAAAGCCATACCTCTCCATCCATAGTATCTAGACCCTCAGTACCCTCCACAATTGTGCGGTTCCAATGATAACTTGAGGTAACGTTTTGCCTTGTTTCTAGACTCTCAGAACCAACAGACGTTCCCGTTAAGAAAGGCAGTATAGAAATACCATCTAATAGTTTACTTCGGTCAGCCATGCAAAAGACAGACCCGGGATTCGAAGTCGCCCCAGAAGAGGCTACATCGTATGCGCTGAAAAGATTAAGGGGGTATGTGTAGTGCGAGACATCATTAGAAGTCGAGTCCGAATAACTCCCTGATGAAACCATAGCAAGCGACTGGTTAAACGCTAAGTCTGTCATGTTCTGGATATTGGAAAACGAAAGGCTCTGTGTCCAGGCTACCTCACGGTTGATGTTCCCATTTTCGATGATTGAAGACACCGTTATATTCCGACTTGCTATTAAGGAGAAGTAAAGTGAGGTATTGGTCATAGTACCGTTATCGGAAATAGCAGTGCCAACAACGGGATGGAAATCAAAGGATGGCGTTGTTATGTTGCTCTTGAAGTTCTGCATGACTGTCTGCTCTACCGTATCGTCGAGCCAGACAAAGACGGATCCCGAAACCCACCAGTTCTCTCCTACGGGCCCAATGCCGTCTTCTACAGAAGTATCGAAACCCACAACGCTTACTTGGAAAGTATGCGGCTGGCCGTCGGTTATCAACCCTAGCCACGGGGAGATGTCGATCTCGAATGACGGTAGCTCAAAGGCATCGATGCCAACAATAGGCCTCCATGCCCCTGGGTCTACCCCGCCAGTGAAGAGGATTGGGAATGGCCATGACACACCCGCAAGTTGACCGTCTATAAGTACCTGGACTTCGCGAAACGGACTATAGCCATACAACCACCCCTCGTTGCTCGGGAACGTGTTCACGTACTCTGAAGGTACATTGGTGAACCAGAATTCTTCTGCGCCATTCCCGGAAGCCGTAACCGAAACGATGGCATTCTTGGCGTTTCTTGGAATAGTCAAGTTAACCGAGCCACTGTCGCTTGGGAGCGAGAATAGCGAAGTGGTGTTGTTTGACGAGGACCGAGTCGAAATGGGGTAGACGTGCTGTGCTGGGCGAAACCCTGCTACGTACTTATCGTCGTAGTATAGCGCTTCGAAAGTGACGTTAAAAAAGCCCGTGTACCTATCTCCGTCGACTAAATTGCCAAGATCGAGGATTATCTTCTGGCTCTGGATAAGAAGCGGATGCCATATGGTCACGTCCTTTTGGAACGACCAGTGAATGCCTGACTGGGTCGGCATGGCAGTAGAAGTCCTCCAGATTTCGATATCGCCTAGCCATAGGGTGGCGAGCCTGTCATATTGGCGCCCGCTCGAAACAACGCTCAAATTGAAAATGGCGGTTGTGAAGTTGCAGCCGCTGGGCGGTGAGTAGGCCCCTACATAAGGGGCTTCGTAACTGTTGCCGAAATCATGTCCAAATAAGAATTGACGACACACTGGTTTATCGAAAGTTGATCTGGGAGGTGGTGCGGCCTGGAAAACTTCAAGCACACTTTGGCAGAAGCCACCCCATGCGAACAAGACGGTGATGTAAGTGAATCTCATATCTGTCGGTACCTAGGTATTCAATCTGTCTTATATGCTAGACCCAGAGGTGCAGAACAATATTTAAACTGAGCCGCGAACATCTCGCTAATATAGAGGACTGAGCATGATGATAAGATGCTTGATGAATAGCTCCAAAGAGGAATGTAACATTGGGGGTGCGGAGCAGCACCGGGTATCTTTTAAGCATATATAAATCATACTGTAGCCGCATAACGCTGCAGCATACAGTTACATAAGTTCATAGGCATAATGAAGCCACATCTTTAGGCCTTTGACTAGAGGCCAATATAAAAAATTGAGTTTCCCTTTTATTTAGCCCTCCTTATCGATTTTAAACCATCATTGATCTCAAACGGGGAGCTCGCTTCGTGGAATTGAATCAGCTTCATACGGTTTGCGCGGAACTTCGTTGTTTGGAACCTCGCGAGGTGGCATTGGCGTGTCTGGAGCTTCGTATCTCGGCGGCGCGTATGGGCCGGCAAGTGCGCTAGGTTGCCCGTAGGTTGAAGGGCTTGATATGGCGTGTGGAGGTATCCCAGGTATCGGGTTTACATGATATTTCGGCTCTGCGTTGAGCTGTGCCATCCTCTCTTGCCGTCTCCTGCTATTTCGATTGTACATCCAAAGGAACAGGGTTAGGCCAACTATAAAAGCCAAAGCTATGAAAACGACGCCGACTATCCATCCGGTGCTGATTGCTGTAGCTGTTCCGTGAAAGCTGTCCGGATTACTTTGAAAGTCGCTTTCAACATCTGAGGGGCTTTGGAATGAACTTGAGTCTACTGAAGGAGTGCTTGGCGACATGATGTATATGTATAAGTCGAGATTTGGCGACGATTTTCTGATTTCTTGAATATGGACACGACTTCGAGTAGAAGGAACGTAAAATCAAAATCAAGTAAGAAAAAGGCAGATAGAATAACTCTTAATGATTTCATACCCTTGCTGCCTTGTTATGAACTATTATGAACTTAGTTGTGGAGTTTGACGATCGCTAATCGCAATTGGATGCTGCGCCTCCTTAGCGGGATATTGGATACAACTGCTAGGATGCGCTGTTGCTATTGATAGGAATAGAAGGCGTTTACGAAGTAAACGGATCAAGATCCTTGATAGGTAGTTCCCAGTTCCTGAGCCCTGTTTAAAACCATGCGCTCTCTCGACCGCTCGATGAAGTAAATATCATACCACTTACACGCAGTCAAAGAACCTAACAGCCCTAGCAACCCCTAATACAAAACGCCTTGCTCAGCCGCAACTGTTAGTAACTCTAGGTTATATTTAATTGGTCATAGAGGGAAGCTAGTAAGCTCGATATAATCTATGATTTCATTCTAGATTATAGATGCTTATACGCCATATCTCGTCAACAACCCCGCTTGCCCTTTGCCACGGAAGAGAGTTCGTGTTGAAGCGGGCAGATTCCTCCTACGGGCATCTCCTATGATATAAATATAATTATAGCTCTACTGGGTCCTTTCTATATTTCAGTTCCTTGAAGGATACTGATCTAGATAAGTAAGACAATATAAGTATTTGTTCATTCATCTCCCATTCTGATCGAATAGCAACTGCGCATCGCCTTCCCCTCATAATTGCAATATATCCCCTCCTTTCAGATCCCACTTCATCGTATTATGTACCTATAACCTGTGCAATACAATGCAATGTTCAAGTGTCGCATGATAGGTATTCAGTATCAAGCATGCATGTTGCCCGACCAGACCTGTTCGCACATGCAGGCTGTCTGCACTGCCATACACCCCCTCCAAATGCCATGGAATTTATCTGTGATATATGATATTGAAATCTAGCAGCCGTGTTTTGAATGTATATGGTATATAGCCTTAGGACTAGTACTCCTTAGAGATCCATTGCCATTATATCTCCTAATTTATTAGTGCTATCCAACCCGGTTTTTGCAGCCCATCCCTATAACTATGAGTGGCTATAGCGATGATGCTAGCAGGACTAGCTCGTCCACAGATAGCGTATTCCATGATAGTTTCGGCAACCGAGCCGATCGAATCACTCTACGAGTCGGCGAACGTCGATTCACCACCCTTCGCGAAACCCTTATCCAAAGCGAGTATTTCGCAGCGCGCCTCTCTGGGAGATGGAATGATGCCGATGAAGATGGCTCCTACTTCATCGATGCCGATCCGGTCCTCTTCGAGCACATCCTTAGTTATCTTCGGAGCGGGAATTTCCCAGTCTTCTTCGATAGCAACACGCTTACCTTCGACCACGCCAAGTACTTATCCCTGCTAGGCGAGGCCCGGTACTTTGGCATTCGCAAGCTAATCGAATGGATCGAAAAGAAGAAATATCTAGACGTGGTTGAGATCACGAGATCAGTGATTGTTGATGATGATGTTAATAGTGCATCGATGCATTCCCATATGAGCGGAGTGCCAGGGGATAGCAAAGTCGACCTCTCAACTTCATGGGGCTTTAAAAAGACATATCTGTGTCCAATGGGCTTCTCTTCTCACCATGGAAATCCGTCGCGATGTCCATGCGAATCGCTTAAGAGACGAGATGAAGGGGATAAATTTAGAGATGAATTGGTCCTAAGAGCTGTTGTCACTATCACTACCGCAACATTCAACCCGGACCGCTGTCTTGGCCATGGGCTGGCTTCGGGGGATTGATTAAGGTCAGGTTAGGATTATCATACGGGGTCCTATTGTTAACGCTGTAAACAAGGCTGCCATGATCAAATTAAGCGTTGCGAATATTATAATAACACCTAAATATCTACCTCCTACATCTACCTCCAATACTGGACGTGATATTCCTCCAAGTCCATTCTCTTTCCCTTAAGGCGATGCAAAATATGTACTGTATGGCACTGTACATGTAGGAGGTAGTTAACACAAAAGCAGCGCGACCGGTTGGCCCGTGCATGACGCCCATGTATTGATCTCATGCTTGATACTTCAACATCCAGCCTCATAAAACTTTCACAGCGTCACTCAAGATATTACCATTCAACCTCTTACTACCGCTGATTGATCTATCACGAACATTTGCCCACATTCGTCCACCAATTTATGATGGCCAGGTCAGAAGAGGCGGAGGCTTTCTTCCACGTCGTGTACACCGCCATACAGCAGATTCCTTACGGAAAGGTCACAACTTACGGACACATTGCGAAGCTAATTGGAACTCGTACGATATGCCTAGTAATTCCAAGTATATATATTGATAGTTTAATAACTAAGCTTGTAGCCGAACGACCACGCCAAGTCGGCATCTGCCTCAAGCATCTTCCACAAGATGCAGACTCACGTTTTAACCACGACAACGTCCCATGGCAGAGGGTTATCAATGCCAAGGGCATGATCTCGCCCAGGTGTGCTATCTCATTCTCAAAGACGATACATAGTGTTGACAACCATACAGATCACAACCCTCGGGGGCACGAAACCAGGCAGCTGCTCTACGAACCGAGGGCGTTACCGTTACTACTAGCGCGCTGGGCGAACTTATGGTGGACTTCTCCGAATGTGGATGGTTCCCAAACGAATTACCTTCAGAAGCGGAGGACGACGACGAATGATTGAGCTGTTCGTCCTATTCTTCAATGATGAAGCTAGGATCACGGCAAGATTCATAGCCAAAGTACTAGTAGCTAGTTGGTACTTTATAGCAGTGAGGTGTACTACGGCACTGCTTCTTCTCGGTCTCTGAGAAGCGTATCTAGATGAGGTGCCAAATTAGCAGAAATTCCCTAACCAAATACAAAAGGTAGGGGTTAAGTTGACAGATATCAGATAGCGGTTGGACATAAGCGATTCCACATTTAATTCAGAACAGGTCTGTGAATTATGTGCTTTCATCATATAAGGAAAATGTTAAGGGATTGGATATAAACGTACCATTATCATAGAAACCTAGATGGGTTCTAAGGGAGACTTGCTAAACTAGTAGACTACGAGTCTCCAAGCTTACGCTTCTTTGAAGCAGGACCGAAGAACGAGTCCATAGTCCTCTGACGTGAGTCAAATTTAGTGCTACCAATGCCGCCTCTCGTCTTTTTCAGACCCTCGAGGTGGTCGACATTATTGATAAACTCAACGGTTAGACATATCGTCCGTCTATGCAAATTTGAATCGTCTCCCGGAGCCACTGAGCTGACAGAGGATACGGCATCACTTGGGCAATCCAGTTTCGACACACTGTTGGCCATTTCAAGCCTAGCCTGAAGTACACCAGTGTTGCTCCATGCCGCGGACTCTGACCAGTTGTCACGGTTTCCGTTGCGCGTTGCAGAACCGGCTGGGCCAGGAAAGCGTTTAAGCAATCCTTTCAACAGAACACCGAGGATGATGCCATGTGCTACTATAGCAACTGTGATCTTGTCGGACACATGTGTATCAACGATTGGGGTTAAGTGGGAATCTAGAAATCGATCAATTCTGATTCTCATGGATTCGGGAGTTTCCGAGTCCGGTTGAATCAGACCATTGGGATTTCTGTATTTTTTGCCCTCAGATGACCCATAGTCCTTCTCTCGTAGCTCAGGCAGTTGTGTGACTTCCAGAGGGGTACGGGTGTCCGAGGCACTACCGCTTGAAGAGCCTTGGGTGTCAGCAAGGGCTTTGGATATAGCGCCAGCTGTCTCATAGGCTCTTCGAAGATTGGAGGTGAATATGTACTTGATTGGGGCAGTAGTTTCGCAACACTTCGCGAGGTGAGCACCCAATCTCTTTATTTGCAAAACACCGTGATTTGTTAAGGGCGAATCGCGGGAACCTGCACTTCGAAAAGGTCAGTTTTCGACAGCCAAACACTAGAGCAGGCGTTGCTTACTAGAGGCCAGCTACATTGTCAACAGACTCGCCATGCCTGATCAGCAAGATGCGCATTGCGACGCATCATCTTCCACAGGTTTGCCAGTGAAAAGATTGCTGGATTTGTTGGGAAATTACTTGAAAAAATTTGCGAGCTTGGAGCTTTTTAAACATAGAGCTAAGGTGGAGTACCTAAAAGAGTTGTTCCGGAATTACTCCGGGCTATCTAGGCTAGGTCAGGTACCTCAGGTACCTAATTGGTACGCGCCAATAGGAAAAGGCAGGTCTCGTTGGTATTTCTTACGTACGTACCTCATATGCACTTTCTCATCACCAAATCTTCAATGATGGATACATACCTTAGGTAGGTATTATCATGTCAAACCTAAGACAAGCATGCACTAAAAACTTGGAACTTAAGGCACATCTTAATGAATGTATTCTGCGAGTCATGTATGCTCGTTCCTATCTAGAGAAAGATCTGTACCTCCAGAGCAACAGCCATAATCCATCGGGTGCGCATGAACCCCCTCGCGTCTACCGTCTTATTACCGGTAGAGTCTCAGTTTAGAATGCATTCTCCTTCTGGCGCTGCTCAAACACCTTCAAAGCCTCCTCTGCCGCTTTCACGCCAGATAGAGCCATGGCACTTCAAACCAATTAGTTTATGTTCCTTCATTCTTTTTGAGGGATGATATATCACTTACCCAAAGGTGGGACCCATACGGTTGGCTCCGTCAACCTCGCTGAGCTCCATACCGCCTACAATCAAGCCGGGCACGATTTCTCGGGTGCCCTTGACGATGGCGTCTTCAGCAGTGTTCATATCTAGGCCGCGCATGCCGCCGAGCTTCTCGATAGCTTGCATGCTGACTAGTCGCTTGACGCTGAAAGCACCGAACGGCCCATCGTGACCAGTGGTGCTGATAATGACAGGCGCGTTGATGGTGCTAGGGTCCATGCAGGACTGGTCGTCATGGTGCATTGAGACAAGGGTCCAGTTAGTGACAACACCAGCAATTCGGATATTGCCAGACTCGTCACGACGGGTGATGAGATCCTCGACAGCGGTGGCGTTGAAAAGCTTGACGTTAGGGAAAGCCAAAACTTTCGACAACAGGGTTGATGTGAAGAGGGCAGCGTGCTTGACCACGACGTAAGCTCCCTCGTCCTCGAATGGCACACCGAGGTCGGTCAAGAACTTATCAGCTGGCTTGCGCATAACCATAGCACTGAAAAGCTGGCCTCCAAGCCAAGCACCACCACCTACACTAGATGTCAGCCTGATTGGCCGATAAAGTACTACTGTATAGAATAAACGTACCAGGAGAGACGCTAGCCTCAATAATCGCAATCTTCAGGTCAGGGCGAGCCTTGGCAAGAGTATAAGCCGTGCTAAGACCGCATGAGCCGGCGCCGACGATGACAATGTCAGATTCGGCGTAAGTGTCGAGGTCTTTGAAGTATCGACGATACATAGCACGAGCGACCTGCGACTCCCTGATGGGTTCGAAAGAGAACTCCTTCCACTTCCTGTCAAGGGCCTGAACAGCTCCACCGGTGTGGAGTTTGCCATTGCCAACGGGGATGCCTCCCTTGTGAGGAAGGGTGGTAGGTTCTACGACATCGACAGCAGATGGTGCCATTTTGATTAATGTTTAGGTAAGTTTTCTAATATTTGTTAGTACTTGCTCACGGGGGTTAAAGGGGGAAACATCGAGAGCATGATCCTTTCGCTGGTATTATCCAGATCAAGTTTTCGGCCGTATAATCTCAGAACGAGCTCTGCGTTTTGCCCCGTCCTCCATGCATCTCCGTACCCTTTACACAGAAACGATGGTTCCCGGATGGGTATGGTTGGATGCACTTATAGACGGGACGCAGAGACCCGAACACCGGCTCATGGCTCATCTCAGATTCTTTACCTAATGATGAGGGGTCTTTGATCAAGTGCAGTCATTTTAACTCTTGCTGGATAACCCATCTGAGGTCATGTCCTCTGGCGGGGTCGCCATCTTGACGCGTACCGAGTATCGGTCCTGGTCAAGTTAACAATTAGTACAGGTCCTTGTCTAAAGAACAGTAGGGATTTGGTATATACTACGAGGCGTACGAATGCTAGTGCAGATAATATCTGTATGAGTTGACTAAAGTCGAGTGAGTGTAGAAAGAAAAGAAGAATTCTTCTACCAGCAGATTCTACTCAACATCTTTATACTCATCGTGAAGCGGGGTAGCTCTCGGGTAGTGTCGTCATACTAACCATATGTAACCAAGAGTAGGCTTTAGGTCTAGGTATCTACAGAGATATTCCATGCATCCCATCGCCGATTCTTGCCGGTCTACTACTATGAGACATATTAATGATTGCTACTAGAGTGGGTCGTCGAGATTTTATGCCGCTTGGCGATTCGCACACATATCCCAATAGGGCTGATCGACCATCACGCTGGCGTCGCATTTCTCTAATTGTGATGAAAGAGGTGTAGATCATATAGACGTATAAGGATTTGGATATCAGTGCTATCTACCTTTAGATGAAGTTACTGCCGAACCCTGCTCCTCTGATTGGGCTGATCCCATATCTATCGAAGAGTAAAATGCGAATTTTTTCCTTAGATCATAAAAGGCTAATCTAGCAAAAGAATTCATAACCCTCTTAACAAAAACGCTATTCCCATAGGCGCCAATCAACCCCCTTCTTTTAGCAAATAACTGTGGACCTCCTCGCTCCCACTTAAGCTTTTCTCCTTAGGAGGTAAATTTGATAAAGTTTTGAGCTATATTTCTACTTTCATTAGTAAGAGCCAAGGTACCCCTCCCCTCCCCTCCCCTCCCCAACGAAAGTTTATATCGGCTCACGGAGAACTTAGTATATTAGAGTTATATGGGAAGATGGTTGAATGATACGTGGGTGGAACATACAAAACCCGATTAAGGAGTCAATGTTGATACAGGGGTCATGATTCAGATCCTCTGCATATATAAACAGTATGGTGAAAAGATCTAACTTTATGGGTTCTCTAAAATATCACCATCAATATAGGTATAATACCTTTTAGTTTCAGCCTCGTGGTTGGCAGTATAAGGATGTAACATTCCTTTTTTTTCTTTTTTCTTTCTTTTTCTATAAGTGAACCTCGGGAGATTTGAGAGGTGTTTATTAAAGATGTACAAACCTGTAAGCAACGAGGATTATAATTTGTGCATATAATTACCTAACTTATAGACATTGCATTTTAAAAGGTAGCCAGGCTCTAAGGTATCGTGGCGTTTCTTGGTATGTTCCTTAGGTACCTAGCGATAGGGGTTTTTGCAATTGCCTTGGACGCCGAGGTGAATCTGACCCAGGGGAAAGGATTACAAGGATAATGAGCTCATAGGAGAGCTCGGGCCATATTCAAGTCGCTAGAAGCTGCAGGGCTGCAGGGATCAGCAGTTTCCCCCTCTATGTAGTGGGGGTGGTTTCTTGCCGCCATCACGCCGAAGCTTCCTTACACCCTGATGCCTTTTTTTCTAAGCCTCACCTCAAATCCCCAACTTGCCGACAGAACAGCAATCGCACTCACGACGGCACGACATTCCTTCTTCAGCCCTACCTAAAATGCAGTAATCCTATATTTAGGGCGATAGAAGCTCTGGGCAGTAATATTAAAACAGCAACTTTGCCTTGAACTTTTCGTCGTTCACTTTTACAAATTACCACCATCAGCGAACTTGACAACTACCAATCTCACAAGGACTATACCACTCCCACAAATTCAACATGATGCGCGCCAATTTCCTGAAGCTTGCCCAAAGTGGCCGCGGCAACCTTGCCATTGCAGCACGCCGCGCCTCTGTTCCCAGTGTCAATCAACGACTCACAGCGATGCTCTTGCCTCGTACCGTGTCCCACCAACCCGTCTCAATGCGCCTCTTCTCTGCGTCCTCTTCCGTCGCGCATCAGACAACACCTAAAGTCGATATTGAGCCTATTACTCAGACCGAGTATCATGATTTGGCTGATGAATACCTCGACGCGGTGCTTACCAAGTTCGAGGAGCTCCAGGATGAGTACGGGGAGGTTGACGTTGAGTATAGTGTAAGTTACTGTCTATCTATCTGTATCTTAAGCTTATTATGCGACGCTGAGAACAATACTAACTACGTACATCTAGTCTGGCGTTATGACCGTTAAGATCCCCAACGTTGGTGTCTATATAATAAACAAGCAGCCTCCCAATAAGCAGATCTGGCTGTCATCACCTATCTCCGGTCCAAAGCGATACGATTACGTGCGATCCAGCGAGGGACAGAGTGAGAAGCAGAATATTAGCAAGGGAGAGTGGGTCTATGCTCGAGATGGCACGACCCTGAGCGACCTTCTATTAAAAGAGACAGGTGTTGTAGTCGAATTGGGATCCGAGTAGATGGTTTAATATATTAACAACCAGCTAAACTCACATCTTTCACTTTCGGAGGGTAATTTGAAGACGATATATGGTTTATTAGAGGGATGACGGGCAATGATTTGACAGAGGAGTTCGAGCTAGGATTGTACCATACCACGCTTTTGCATCACGCGGCGGAGTTTAGGCCTCATTGTGCTATACCACTCATCGCATTATAGTTAACGAGAAAGAGAAAGACCATTGCTAATATACAACACAATCCACTTCTCATCTCCCTTTTTTTCCCATGCGTTACTACCGTCTAGTCAAGTAGCTAACTAGTTGCAGCAAAAAAGAGGGCATAGTAGCTTCTTAGGGTGCCTATTGGCAACATGGTTCCTTGTGTCAATCGCAAACCCCTTGTTCCATTTCTTGCTAAACATCCAACCACTCCAGCCCTCGCCGCAGTGAACCCGTAGTCTCTGGTAGAACTCCCACATCTCGGAATCCGGAGCGCTGTCCACGTATTGGTCTTTACAGTTACACAAGAAAGTGGCGGCACGGTCTTGCAATTCTATGTGGATGCTTCTGCCCCAAACTCGACCGCCTCCCTTGCTCCAGTCGATCATGCGCTGGATTGCCTCCTTCATATCATCCCTCCTCAGCTTCGAGCGTGTGCAACCCCAGTGGGACACGGGTATGACGAAGCGGGGATCTGCCTCAGAAGCGTTGATAGGGTTGAATTCGAATACCCCTGGATGATGGCTGGCGTTTTCCCCGGCGGATATTGTAGACATGTATCGATTATCATTTTGGGCTTTTGACATGTCCTCCCTAGGCATCTGTATGCCAAGGGCGTGAGAAGTGCCGAGTATTGTGGTTATATGTAAGAAGATAGTTGAGCCCTTCATGATGGCTTATTTGATGTTTAGATGTCGCTTAGGAGGTATGCGTGCTATTTGAGCTTGGTGATTGGTGTGCTTTCAGTATTTTGCCAGGAAGCGTATATAAAGGGGTAAGAAGATCGAGACATTTCCGGGGTTATGGGATTAAATATATACTCGAGTTCCTACTGAGATAAATGTCAAAGCTATTAAGTTGAGACACGCTCGATCATATAGCACCAAGCTTAAAGTAACTAAGTTTAGGTAGTTGGTCAAAGTTTTAAGGTTAGAAATAGGTATGATTACTTTGTATATACGCTCGGCCGATTATGCAATAGAGAGAACCTACTTTGAGGAAGATTAACTTTGTGAAAGAAACGAAGGAATGACATAGGAATCTCGAATCGATACTTGAAGAAGATATAACTAACTAGTATGTACCGAAGGTATGTTTATTTCGCAACTTTAAAGACATTAGACTCCATGAAGGATAGATTGGGCTACGACCAAGACAGTCTAATAGAGCATATATTTTACGCTGAATATCGTAACCTCGTTCCACTTTAGTTGTCTTATGATCGTCGTAAGCAAGCAAAAACGCCGCCAAGAAATAGGGTTGTAGTTTTATAGGGGCTTGTTTGGGAGTCAGCAACTAACCTTTAAGATTCCTCAGCTACATCCGACACTTAATCACATTATCCTAGAGCTGGTCGTATCACTATGTATATTCAATGAGCACTATTAATAAGTTTAAGCTACGTTTAGCTGGTGTATCAAACTTATAGATCGCGTAATCATCTTCTACAGGCAACCGTCCAACACGGCTTACTTAGGCGTATATAGACGCGACTATAAGGTCGGGTAGTCGCAAAGGCGCGGTAGCCCGAGACCCAGTGCGACTCGCACCCGATATGCAGCAAACGGATTGGCCACACGACCCTCGCGTCTTTCTTCGCGTTATCGGTGTTTTATATTACCTAACCTAACCATATATTGTCCCTTGTGTTGGACAGTTTCGGACCAACTCGGTGTGCAAGAAATAGCGAGATTGCCTACCTAATGTAAGGAGAAAGATAGAGTCGACTATTTATATATAGGATCATCCTCTCCTGTAGAATTATCACAAGGAAGTTTGCTATGACGTCGGGTTTAATAACAAGAGATTTGATATATCTATAATTAAGCATCTTAGTTCACGCCTTTCACTATGGAACAAAAACATCCGGTCATTTACTTTGGGACATCAACATTCGGCTCGTCCCATGTGCCCGCACTACAGGACGAGACAAATGTCTCCAAGTTCCTCGATAGCTTACAAGGTGGTGGCATAACCCAGATTGATACAGCCGCTAGATATCCACCGGATAACCATGGCGCCTCGGAACGAATGCTTGGGCAAGTGAAAGCTTACTCGAAAGGGTTTACGATCAACACCAAGGTGCTATTTGCTGGACAGAGCAGCGCTGGAAGTCTTAGCAAAGAAGCAGTACGAAAGAGTGTCGAAAATAGCTTAAAGAGCTTAGGCGCCGCGAAGATCGGAATCCTTTACGCTCATACCGCGGACCCGGCTACCCCCCTGGCGGAACAGGCAGCAGCGCTGAATGAGCAATACCAGAAAGGGTTCTGTGAAAAGGTGGGCGAGGCACTAAGTAATAATTTCTCTGATTTACTAACCGAATCCTCAAGATTGGTATCTCTAACTTCCCACTCGATACGCTAAAGTCTTTCGTGGAAATATGCGAGAAGGAGGGCTACGTCAAGCCATCGGTGTACCAGGGGCAATACAACCTGATCTGCCGCGGGCCTGAGAAGGAGCTGATACCATTCCTCCGAAAGCATAATATCACGTTTAATGCTTACTCGCCTCTCGGCGGCGGTTTCCTCACCGGAAAGCTGACGTTAGGGACCGCCGAGGGGACACGTCTGCGAAGCGCTTACGGAGCACACTTTGCCCGCTGGTACGACAGGCCTGAGTTTCACGATGCGGTCCGGAGGCTTCTAGAGGCCATCGAGCCCCTTGGGATAAAGCCTTCGGAAGCCGCTCTACGGTGGTTGGCTTACCATTCTGTCCTTGGGGAGAAAGATGGGATTATCTTGGGTGCTACTAAGGTGGAACAGCTGAGGCAGAACATAGAAGATGTTAGCAGGGGTCCTTTACCTCGTGAGATCGTCGAAGTCATCGATGCTATTGGGGAAACTATTGATGTACTGGGTGGGGGCGATTTCGAAGTGAGGCCTACAGAACTACCGCCAAGGTAAACATGTATCTACCGACAATGTCACTACTTGAAGTCATCTCATAGCATCTGAAGCAAATAGAAAATATGTGTACTAGTTCAAAATTTATGTTCTACTGGATAAGAGAAATAGTCATATCACGTTAATTGATTCTTGAACATCCTTCACTCTTCGCTAATCAATATTGGGTGCGGTGACAGTCTTTTTTTCTGACATATACCTTCAGTCTGTCCATTTCCGCCATAGACTGTGCTTCGGCGGGCTCCACTGGAAAGTCCCAGGATTCGTAGTCTTGCCACATTTGTTTCGTACGGGGAGACTCTGCATCTTCATACGGTTGGCTAGAAGAGATATATGTTAGAGCTAACCGCGTCTCGGCTTAAAGGGGGCTGGGTTCGTAATTACTCCTTAACATTGAAGGTCTTGGCCTCTCCTACGGCAACAATCAAAGCGGGCCGTGCAATGTCGGCGATAATCTGCTTGATGGGCGCAGAGGCGAAGGCCGTAAATACTATGGTATCGTCATCGACTTCTGCGAAGCCTCCGGCGCCAAATTGCCCTACCACTTCGAACCCAAGTTCCCCCAAATTTTTCTTCGTTTCTTCAGCGTAATCAGGGTCTTGGGTTAGTATGCGTACCCTGCCCCTTGTGCTGGAAGTGATCTCGGCTGCTATGGTCAAGACAGCCGAATATTGCGCTATTCTGCCTTCCATAACAGTAGCCTCTATCTGCTGCCAGTTCGGACCACGCTGTTCTCTCCACCATTCAGGCGCTCTAAGGCTTATATCGCCAAGACCAAAGCAAATGATCTTGGTTACTTTGTGCCCACATAAGAGCTTTTGAATCAACGACCAGAAAGAGTTGCGCGTCGTGCTCATATGCCAATCATGCATCTTTTTTATGAGGAAATGTCTCGAGTTCTCTATTAGCCCCCTACTATCTCTCTCTAACCGATTTTCCCAACCGACAAGATATGAGCAACGGTACGTTTCGGGAGGACCCTCGGGTTTGGCCCTTACGAGTCTCCAATACTCCTGGAATTTAACAGTTGGAAACCTACGAAACCATGACTACTTGTTAGCTCTGAATTTCACGCCAAAGTTCACTGTTGAATGATGCACGATGCCTCACCAAATCGGTCGTTGTACTTTGAACATAGGGTTTTTGATCTGGATTACGCTACCATCAACACACCGGATAGTAAACTTCTTGATGGTGCGAAATTGGGATAGCTGTTGCTCAATATCTATAAGGTCACTTTTCCGCCAGAGCTTAGCCCCTGAAAAGTATAAGTCTTCCATGTGCTGGCTACTTGTCTTCCATTCTGAGCAATCGTGCTCGAGTAGGGGAGATATTAGCTGCTCCTTGTTCTTGTGTGCATGTTCCGACATATTGGATTGACTATTGCTTTGGGATGTTTCTATGGCCTGAAACTGGTAGGTACCTAGGTATAAGACGAATAATTGCAATTTTGAGCAACACTCTCTGGCTTTCATCTCTTGGAGCTTGAACAGCTATACATATATAAGGAGTTCTCTTTGTGTTATTGTCTCATCTTGCCATAGACATGATGCATCACAGATACTCAAGTTATCACATATCTTAAAATCCACGTCAGCATAGGTGGTTGATATATCATAATATAGGTAGCTATTTATTCGCCGGCTCTTTGAAAATTGACTGAAGCTAATCAATCTGCATGCGTGTCAAGTGGGTTCCATATACCTATTTGATCCAGGATATCGTAGGTGAAAATAGTTAAGGTATCAGCTGTGTTTACCAATACCCCACGTATTGCCTTTCCATAAAGAATGTAGCGAGACAAGATAATGGCTACAGCATCCATGTTATATTGCCTACAAGTCTGTCTCATTACCTGCCTTGCTGTTGTGCTAAGTATCAGGTATTCCTATCCCTGACACTGCCCCCTCTTGCCGCGCATTTGCGCAAATCACTAGCTGAGATATATACGAATCTGTCTTCCACTACTCATTAGCAAAGTAACTAGTGTTTAGAATAAATCATAATATAATAGGTGATAGGTTTCAGCCTTGATTTCCCCTCCAATTTGAGATATCATAACGCACACTAGCTTGCTTACAAGTGTTTGGCGTGCCTATGTCAATTGAAGCGGTACTCATTTATTCCTTCAGTTCATGCGGCGCGAGAGCTTATAGAGGATTTCGCGGCGGACTATTTAGTGACCATGTCTACTCAAGAAAGACTGTGTCAGTTATGTGAGATCGATGGAAGACATCTGGCGGAGTGAAACAGGCTATGAGCCCCTCAGGATCTGTTGGCTACCTCCTATTAGAGCTATATTTTAGAAGTCTTCGGAATTCAACTGGAGAAGAGGCAATAGGGGTTTCCCGATCGGCGTGAGCCTCGGGACGCTAGTACTACATCTAGTTTGCAGCGAAAATCATACAAGGCTACTCGTCCCCCGAGTCAACGACGCTGGCATATTGACTTTCCTGGCGCGCAGATTGCCAAGCCTGTCTTTTCCTGAAGCCCATACGCCGTTACCAACGCGAGTTTTGGACCTTAGTGGTTGTCAAAATAGCACACTCACGTCACCCCAACCATATATAAGACTGCTAGAGACCAAGGGGGCGCCAAGCTTGTATGCGACCCCCAGTTATTGCCGGGGATCCTATAGAGACTGCAGGACACTCACGAGTAATCTGGCATCACAAAAAAAGCGTATTATATTTGAGGAACCCCCAAAAGTCTTTCAGCATGCTGTTATATTCATCAGAGCTCTCGATGTGCGGTATCTGTTGATTGACACGTTTTGTATTGTTCAAGATAACTCGGAAGACTGGGAGCGCGAAGCTGCGAAACGCGAGCAGAACTCATTGCTAGCTCTCTATTCTGTCACGACCCCTATACTAAAACGGTCTTAATCTAAGTGATGTTGTTAACTACCTAGATGTAGAGAGGTATACGATGACGCCGTAACGGGAATAGACGATAAGCCAAAACATATCGGGTTCACCTCCCCCGACGATGGTAGCATGTCTTTGGAATCGGATGAGTTAATCCTCGGACACGTATCAACTCTACTGGACGAGGTGGACATATTTGGACAGCTCGGGAATGCTGGCTTGGCCCCAATTGCCTTTTAAAACCCAGCGCATAGAGTCATTGAAGATGGCTAGTTACCTCCGGGTGGTGGCCTGGGACTAATTAAACCAATCCTTGCTTACTGTCTGGTGTTGAGGAAGACGGGAGAGACAGCAGAAGGGTTTAAGAGAGTTGGGGTTGCTGAGGTGAACTATGATTGGATGAAAGCTAGTTCAGAGGAAACTATTAAGTTATTTTGAGTTGATTTAAAACATGAGCCCTTTACATGCCTTAAGTACCTATTATTATAACTTCAATCTTTATCCGATTCCGTTCTGGTGTTCTTGGGTGTGGATCCCTTACCTCTTGTAGTGATGAGGCTTAATAGGTACTATTCTCTACTAACTGCACGGGTAATACCCGCTGTTACCCGTGCTCTATGCAGTGGCTTTGCAGTGTGTGGGGTGTATCATATTGCATACAGCTATAGGTAATATGTAGCTTTATATTAACGTGTATGAGGCTCGGGATTAGGTAGTTCTGGGGCTTTGACATATTGGTATATAACGATACGAGTTTAGGAAGCAGCAAAGAAGACAATCTTATACCAAAATGCACTTTGAGATTCTACAATCGCTAATTAGGTACACGTGTAGACAATTCCTACACTGCCTAGGTATCATACAGGTTGTTTCTGTTCCTATTTTGGTGAGTTCATTGCCGAACACTAGCTTTACTACTAACTCCTAGAAACAGTATTATAACGAGCCTGCCATTCAACAAGCTGACGTTCCATAGACATTTTTGACTTTTTACTTGGCTCGCCAGTAACGAAGAACTTTTCTATTATATCCGTCTCCCTAGTAGACGAACTAATTCTATCTTGTCTATCCGAGACTCGATCGGAAGATGGGCAAGATGAGCTTATAGTGTCAGTGGAAGAATTATTAGAGTTGGCTATGGACGAGGTATCACCTTGACTTATATGAGTAGTTGGAAGTGCGACTAGGCATAGCGATGGGAGTATGTGACGATGTGCGCAAAGATGGTAGTGGGGCCAATTGTTATTAAATGTGAGATAATAGATACCGAAGGTGATGAGCCGGGTTCAATATAGGCGATGTGTCACAGATGTGTATAGGTATGGTATATATATGGGTAGAATGTGCTGTCCACGTATATGCGTACCTAATGTACACGCGTGTGCAGAAGCACAACTGGGAGCTCTTAAAGTACGAATGAGCTGTTTCGAAGTAAGCAGACGTCACTGCTGATGCTGTCCGAATGAATGTCTAAATCCGTCTTCTACACCGTCGCAAGCGTGAGTTTCGGCCTATTTTATATTCCTCAACATAATCACGGCCATGATCAAACGCGCGTTAAGCACGGGAGAATAGGGGGAGATAGGGTGGATGTCGCGTCAACGGGGGGAGAAGTAGAAAAAGCTTTTAAGAGTCAGAAGCTTATCTGTTAAAGGATTCTATGATCGTAATACGATAGAGCTCCGATCAACCAAAAATTGGTACAGCTACGGTCAATTCTAGCACGCGGGTATTCGGATACGGAGTGGCAAATCTGGATGAAACATGGCGGGAGAGAGGCGTCGGAAGTTGAAAAATTCGAGTTATAAGCCGACTGCATTAGTATAGACAATGGAGGTAGTATTACAAGCACACGGCGAGTTATAGACAGTGTGATGATAACTACAAAATGACGATGAAGAATACCACTAAGAACCCTTGTCTTCGCCGAACCAAGATGAGCAGATGAGCAGGTTGCCAAGCAAGGCTGTGGGGAGGAACGGAAGCTTGTTTCTTTCTTTCTTTTTCGACATCGAGCAGTGCCAGTTGGCATCTATGTAATATGGGCTTGTGGGATTCGACCATGTATAGCGGAGCGCGAACCTTAATAACGCCATGGGTTTTGTCTCGTGTAAGCTCAAGTCGGCCTTGTCAGATTTGCGAACTTTGGGTGTCAATAAATAGGGTGGGCCATGGTCTGTAACGGGCCTGTAATGCACATGGTTCTTTAACGACACTCCGCTGTGATAAAGGGTGAGTAGTCGAGGATGAGAGAAAGTTGCATTTTCTTTTACTACCATATTGCCTGACCCTGTACTAGGAGCGCGGCCCATGTTGTTCATATAACAGCGGATTACATGTGATGTGATGGAGGGAGAAAATCTGGAGGAAAGAAGTTTGGCTTTATTGCCCTTTCTACACTTTCTACCTTAGGTAACCGCGAACGCCCCCACCAGCGCTAGGCACCGTTGTGAAGCACAGCCCCAATAATCTGATGGCAGCGGGTGTTAGTAACGGGTGTTCCCTTGATTCTTCAGTAACAGCCACAATTCATACCCAGTAATCATAGCCACAACCTGCGACCGTTTGGCGGCCCGCTGCGGTGAGTTTCGTTTGCTCTCCCTCCCCTCTTACACCTAGACTTTTGAGTAAGACAGCAACATTAAGAAGACATCACAAGATATCGTAACAGGGTATCAATCAATTAATTACTTACCTGGTAAATAATACTGGGAGTTATTGTCTGTTGTATCTTATATCAACCTAATTATGATAAATATTAGCTCTTTCTAGATGGGGTCTTTTTAAAAACTGGTATCTTCATGTCAGCCAGAGGTAAACCAACCGCCCTCCGTCACGATAGGTTAAGGTGGTAGGTAGGAAGAAACATACAGGGGTACTTCCAGTACTAACAGACCTTTTCGACCTTTTTGATTCGGGAATCGCCCAGCCTACATAAACCCTTGTTCCCCTGCCCCTCTCCCTCCCGCCTGAGGGACAGCCTAACTAACTGCCTTGTAGGTCATCGCGAAAGAAGCTTGCCAATTGGTTTAGCAGCCGGCATCCCCGTAGTGTTATCACCAACGGGATCGTACAGGGATGCAACGGCCGCTACAGGTACTAAATATGCACTTCCGATCTAACCTCATCCTCATCCACCAACTCATGCACCAAGTTGACAGCACCTATAAAAAGCCCCACTAGTCCCCTTGAGCCGCGAGCCTCGTTCGCGATGCATTGGATCTCTCTTATTAACGTCCTTCTCCTTTTCGAGAAGTGTTCCTTTTTAAATATTAAATATTTCTTAGTTTGACTTCCAAGAGGGCCCTGTTTCTTTATTCCTAAAAGTTCTTAGCAAATAGGTGTTGTGTTGTCTTAGTCGCCGCAATGAATTCAGCTTCCCCTACTACTAGCACATCCACAAATAGAGGTGGCCGTCCTAAGGATTGGACCGAACCCCGAGCTCGAAGACTCGTGCGACTATATATCTATACGAGGTTACCCTTTGAGCTTATATTAAAACTTCTAGAAGACGGCGTTTGGAAACCTGGGTATGTTTTCCCTGTCCGCTATTCTACATTAGATATCATTGCTTACTTTACTATCTTATAGCAAGGTATGTAAGAAGAACACCCTACCTCGGATGCGATGTCTCTTTCGCAGTGGTCACTTAATGTGCTACGCTACCATATTCCTTCCCTTTCAAGACACCCTAGTTTACGAGTTACCAGACAACATTGAGATTAACTAAGCCTCGACTATTCGTCCACGATGCTAACAAGTTCATCCAGGATGCTGCCAATAAAGTCAAGAACTCACTCCTCGGAAATGACCCTCGGTGGATAAGACCTAAGGATGAGGATGACGAGAGAAGACGTATCGCAGGTCTCAAGAACAGCCGACGCGGGACGAAGCTCCGCCAGAGGGCATCATCATCGCATCTTACCAATGAACATCTAAACATCTATGGCTCTGGTTGGCATGACGATGACAGCTTAACTCTTGCTCAATCGAACCAACCCTCCTTTGAAAATATTAAACAAGAGCCAAGTCACTACAGCTCCGAATTTGGAGCTAATCGTTTCTCTTGGACTCCTAGTGGTCCAAACGCATCTCGCCGGGATACCAGTCTAACCAGTTCTACCGAAACTAGTATGAGCAGTAGCTTTCAGGAGAAGCTTTCTGCTGTCTCTCGAGACCAAGCGAAGGGTGCCTGGCATGTCTTGAAACGGTTTACCTTCCCTAAGGATCTTGACATTCACCGAGGAACTTCTTTTTCCCCTGTGTTTCCCCATGGGCCGCCGAATTTCCCTCCCCATGATGAACCAGCTACCCGTGGTTCGTCTAGCGCGAAATATGCTCTCCCTGGCGACTTCCTTAATGCGGACTTATTTAATAGAGAAAGCATATGCGGGGTTGGATCTTCATCTCACGAGACCGAGACCTGCTGGTGCCGGATCATCAACGAGTTAAGACCGCCTTATGAGATATGGCCAATGACTAATGGCAATCCTACTATCCAAGACATCTCTTCTAATCAAATTAGAGATGTCTTTGGCAATACAATATTCCATTGGCTTGCTAGTGCAACTAGAGACCGAAACTATTTCCTCAATATCATTACTCAAGCACTACGTCACAACTTACTGATTCATGCCACAAACACAGCTGGGCAGACGTTTCTTCATCTTCTACATCCCTCTTGGTTCGAAGATGAAGTACTATTGGAGTGGCTTCTCAACATGCTTAAGGACGCCAATTTTAACATTTTGGCAACCGATGTTTACGGTCGCAGCTTTTTCCACTTGCTGCAAAATAGGAGGGGGGACTTGATTCGTGTACCGGCTCACTTATTCGATTGGGAACTACTTAGGCGACGGGATGCATTCGGAGTTAAGCCAATGGAACCTCAGGCAAAACAATCAGAGCCTCCTATTGTACAAAGCATGACCCGTGCCAATCCCTTGAACGCCAGAAGTTCAAGCAATATGGAGTTTCTACCAACATTTCTCGAAATACCTTCTGAACGTGGAGTTGATGCTCGAATTCGATCTCAAGCTGAGCTTCTACGAATAGTCGTAGATGCTATTAAGGTCGATGGTGTCAACTCAACTAACCAGAACTCCTTGTCAGAAGATTTGCACGGACGTAATGCGCTCCATGCTCTTGCAGAAGTCGAGCTTGACATTGAGCGGGTCCAACATCCCACCGATGATAACCAACGACACAAGAAAAGGAAATACAAGGAGGAGGAGGGCGAGCCAAGGCCAGAAAGTAGCCACAATAGCAAGCGATTGGAGTACCTCGAAGGAATTCTTTCTACTAGTGTTGATGTCAACCATTACGACAATCGGGGACAAACGCCATTAATGGCATTTATCGCGCTGAGGCCGGAAGACTCCAGATCGGATAAAGAAGATATGGAGAGATCAATCCGGAAGCTCTTCGAAGCGGGTGCAAATCTTGAGAAGCGTAATGGCGAGGGTAAAACTGCCCTTCACGTCGCTGCCTGCTCCGGGAAAAAGGTCGCCCTAAAGGAGCTTCTTCAACTGGGAGCCAATCCTTATGTTCGCGACGCATGTGGTTTAAGTGTTCTCGCCGCGATCGACGAACTATGGGCCCATACCGAAAGAGATGGCATTTTTACAGCACGACTAGAAGCATGCCGAGGTGTTTTTACGAGTATGGTTCAGCCGGATGCCCAGGAGCCCAGTGTTGTACAGGAATGGGGGGTAAGAAGACCAGCAGCCAGACCGTGACAGTAACCAACTAGCGATTGTTAGCCTTAGCAATGAGGTGTTACTGCGAAGGTACGAGAGACGATGTATGATCAGTCACAGTATAGCACAGCGTCGATTCTATTTCTGCAAAGGAGTTTTTCAGGTCTCGATACCCTTGTATATTTTAACGGAGTTTGGTGGCCGGAGGTACAATTCGCCTTTGATAGGCTGAAATATAACGGGAAATCGGATTAGGTACCTAACATAGAATGAAGAGGGAAAAGATTGCTCTGCTGTGTACCCCAGGAAAACAACTTTGATCATGTCTGCGCCGCTGGGCTGTGGTTACTTCCGTCTAAGTTCATGTAAGATGAATATTCTATACGCTCGTCACTCTTAGCATCTACAGGTAGGCTTAGAATTGTATACATAAGATTATAGGTTATTCTCTTACCGTAGAGAAAAATCACGCATATGTAGTGCGACGATAGTCTCATGTCGAACCACATAGCTTGGGTACATGATGTAAGTAGATCCATGTAGCCAGATGACGAGACTTGATGTAAAATACTCCGATCTGCTAGATGATAGGTACCCGCGTACCTGGGCTCCCTCCTAATTTCCATTTTAGGCATGTGGGACACCCAAGGCGGCGTCAACTATTGGCCTCTCCTTACCTAGCCTGAGGTTTAAGTTCTCATCCACCATGTATTCTAAATCTGATGGGGCACTGTACGTGATAAATACACCGCGAGTTACATCCAAGATGAGAGATTGGCTGAATGTTGGGCTAGCTGATACTATGTCCAAATCCGGAATTGATGAATGAGTACACATTTTAGATGTAACTTTGTTTGACACGAAGCCGTTGCAACTCTTACCCTAGTGATTTGTTTACCAATGCAGGTAATCCGCCATCTTATCGTGGGATTTGCCTGGCATTGCCGCTTGCTTATTATCACTAGGGGAATAATATGAAACATCACACAGGTATAAGATGCAGCTCTAACAAGTAGGTATCCAGTGACTCTCTGTATCATTCTAAATGTAGGTAACAATAAGGAACACAGGTGAACATAATTAATACCTAATGTACCTAAGATAAAAAGACATAATTAATTCTTCGCTAAACTACCCCGGCGCGAACATCATATAACAGACAGCCCCTGGTAGAACCGCCAATGCGTCATGACGAGCATGTATATAATCTTGTCGTAAATAGTATCCTTAGGTATTTCCTCGAACCTGGGTGGACCCCCCTGAGACGGGAAGCTGATGGCCAGTTTGGCGCTGAGTTCGTCCTCTAGACGATACTGTTCTTCGTTGCTGTACGACTGCCCTGGCTGGGGCGGTCCCATAATCCTCTCCTTCGCGCGCGCTCTGGCGCGGTCTTCACGCCGCCGCTCGGCTCTCTCGTCGAAGAAAACTGTCTTACCCGCTTTCCGGGGCTCGACCCAGTAAACCGGGGTAGGTCTAGTAGCTTTCCCGGCCTCATTGGCTTGGTTGGCCGCTTCGGTGTTTCCAGCGTCCTCAAGCGCATCTGGCCCGTCCTGCTCCTGTGCTTCGCTACTGTCGCTTTCGGCGTCGCGTCTGGCCTTGCTGTTTATTTGCGCTTCTAGCTGGTCCCGGAGAATCCACCACTTGTCGATGTTCTCGTTTCTCGCGTCGACGTACCTCATCAGCCAGCTCCTCCTAGAGGTCGACGTGCGAGGATTATTGATGGCCCTTTCATCGGCCGCATTCCAAGCCTGCTCGTGTAATATCCAGTCGTCAAGACGATCCCTTAGTGCCTGATTCATCCTATCAGACGACGGTTCTGGTGTTGCTGATAGTACTAATTTCATGTAAAGCGCCCGGACGAATTTGAGGGTATAAGCAGCTACCCTTGCTTCCTTTAACTTTGTAGGGCTGGTGATGATTTCGCTCTTCTCGTGTATTTCGGCTCGAACCCGGGGTATGTCATTCTCCATCTGCCGGAGAATTTGCTCTCGTCGCTCTTGCGAGCTCGGGGGAGCCTCCGGTCTGTAATAATTTCTCCGGCATAGCCTCAATCTCTTGGAAAACTCGGGTGCGTAACTGTTTAAAGTGTCCTCCCGATTCTCAACAGTGGGGTTGAGAAGTCTCTCGTGGTCAGGCCTCTCAAATACATCCATAAAAGCTGCGTCGCTATAGACGTCTTCAATATCAGCGTCGACGTTATCCATAGTTATATTGTAGTTCTCAAGGAGACGTGTCTTTTTTGAACCTGGCTGACTTGATTCCGACGGCGCCAGTTGTCTTTTCTTGGGCTCCTGTTGGGCCTGCTTCTTCCTCTCTTCTTCCTCAGGGGTAAGCTGGCCACCAAGCTTCAGCTTCAGATCCAGTACTCCTGGCCGTTTCCCTGATCCGTACAGCCATTCGTCCGCGTCGGGTGGGAAATCAATATACGTAGGGCGCGCGCCCTCGCGAAACAATTCTTGGTGTATCTCTATAGCAACCATAGGCATCCGAAGACCGAGCAGTGCCTGATCAAGGATTTCCTGCGAAAAGAAAATAAGTTCACGGCGATCTGCATCATTCCGAAGGTGCTTTTTTTCAAGATCCATGAATTCGTTATATGCCCTGTTAAATCTTTTATGCTGGGGTAGGGTGTCACCGACCCACGATCGTGCTGCTGGGGGTGCGATGTCACCAGCCAAAAATGTCATTCTCGTGATATGTCTCGAAATATTTTGATTGAAAGAGGTGAAAGGCTGTGAAGAGAAGTTTTCGAGGCGAGCCCATAGCTTATAGTGGAAGTTCCTGAACTTGAGCAGATCTTCGGAACTATCCCGTACGAAGTCGTAACAGACGTCAAGAAATTTAACCGCTCTATCGAAAAGCTCGCGCTCGGTATCAGCACCATCCTTAAACATTTCTTTAGAAATTTCACCGAGTAATCCTATGAGACTTGTATAAAGAGAGATAAAGTACGGCGCAGTTTCGTGAAAGCCGGCGGTTGCGAAATCGGTAAACCCGTACAATCCTGCGGCCTCGATCCGCTCAAGCCGAGTGGTCAATGACTCTGCTGTAGGGTCTGCCATAGGTTCTATTATAGGTTCCTCTGCCGCAGGTTCTTCTAACTCAGATTCTTCTACCTCAGGTTCTTCTGCCTCAGGTTCTTCTACCTCAGGTTCTACCGCAGGTTCTTCTGCAGGTCCTACCGTAGGCTCTGTCGCAGGCTCTAACGCAGGTTCTGAACTGGGATCGGAAGACATGGCTGGTCTGGATTCGGCTTAGGAATTACTGAACTTCTTTGGGTGGCAATGCTAATTTTATAGAATCAGTTGTCATTCGTGCCAAATCTTAACAATTGCTAAATACTAGGTATTTATTAGCAGTAGGGTATGATTATATGGAAAGGGGTCTGAGCTGTTGGATAAGTCGAGCTCATAAATGAAAGAAGTTGGGGAGCCCACAATTTCGAGGTAGGCAAGCATAAGAAAACCGCAAACATGTTTTTAACAAAGACCAACAATCGTGAATCAGGCAAGAAATATTTGGATTTTTTCTTGGGTGGGGTCGATATTTGCAGCCGAATCCGTCTGCCTTTGTCTTTCAACGTGCAATGCCATCACCTACTACCATAAGCAGGTTTTCCTATCCCGGTGAGGCATTCTGCTTTCAGACCTTTGCTTGCAGCGCGTAGCCCAAATTGAGGCGCTCTCTCTTTTCTTTTTTTAGTTTCCAACTTGAAATCATCTCTTCTATTCGATTTCCCCTTCTCTTTTATAATGCTACAGTATTCTATAATAAGCTTTGGTCTCATATATCTTAAAGCCCAATAATTATCTGAGAAATTAAATCTTATATTATAACTTGTTCGGGAACAATGGCTGAGGATTTACAAGTAGGCGGTTTTGAAGACCCCTTCGTTGTAAGAGACGCAGGGGCCAAGGGGATGGGTTGTTATGCAGCGAGAGATATCAAGGCCGGCGAACGTGTTCTTGTGGAAAGGTGCCTCCTTTGGCAAGTAGATTATACGGATGTTTATGACAGAACCAACAGTCTACTCCAGTCTTATTTAGGACTGAGTGAAGCAGATAGGGCAAAAGTTCGGAATTTATACTCGGACACAAATCCCAACTTTAGGCTTCGAAACCGGGCAGCATTTGAGCATAGCGGTGAGCTAATAACAGAAGATCAAATCGATGAATGTGTCACCGTCAGGCTTGTTCATGCTGCCAACAACTTCGAGATAGAGAGTGCTAAGACAGCTTCGGACGGAACAATCATTCCCTCTCGATCTGGCGTCTTTGTTAAGGCAAGCAGGTTTAATCACTCCTGCGATCCTAATTGCTGGTACACTACAACCTCATGGACGGGACATTTTATCTGTACACCAATGCGGCCTATCAAAGAAGGCGAGGAAATCACAATCAGCTATATACCTAATCAAGCGACCAGGGAAATCCGGCAGGCTTTATTGCGGAAGTCCTGGAAATTCATATGCACCTGTAATAGATGCGAAGGATGGGATCTTGAATACGACGCTCTACTCGAGGAAGCATACAAGGTGCAGAATCCCGCTGCCGATGAAGAGAGAATATTACCAGGTTTTATACAAGGGGGGAGAGAGGCAGAGGAGCGCCGTATACTCCGGCGTGCTGAGATTCTTGAAGCACTACATTGGCCTCCGGAGCTATATTTCGGGTAAGTCGTAATCATATTGGCAACTATATTTACCAAGACTCACAATTTGAAAAGGTACATAGATGCGGCGGAGTATTTCGTCCAGCTCCACCAAGAACTCCAGGGGGCGGATATGAAGCAGAGCTTAATCTACTCTCAAACAGCCGAACGTTACCTAGACAACGCAGTCATAGTAGGGGAAGAAGTTTGGGCGCCTGGTGAGATAATATGGCAAGATTGTATAGACTATGCACAGAGGATCAAGTTAGGAATTGCTCGAATAAAGGAAGCTTTAGATAAACCTAGCGAAAGCTAGTCTTGAATAGTTTATGTATATAGTATAGGGGCGTATTATTAACTACTGGGGGATATTCCAAGGTCATTAGAAGTCAAATTAATAGATCTCTACTAGAGGTAACCTATTATGAAGGACATTAATCACGAAACTGTTTTAACAACTTGGGTTGTTGTACAAGGTGTTATGCAATACTTGAGTGTCACTACTTCTCCGCCACCCATCCATATAGCGTTAAATAAGAGCCGAGATGCTATAGGAATGGATTCGGCAACTTTAGGATGAGGTTAGTAGTATTATAAAACATTCCTTGCATGGCAATCCACTGTGAACTTTTAAGGTGTCACGTGTCACCAACATTTATCATCTTAAAGATCTGATTAGACCTGGACCCGGAGTCTTCTTTATTGTTGAGATAGCCTCCGCATTGGGCTGCTGAGCCCAAGGATGCTAAAATCGTTGCCGTGTATGGTGGATCTGAACGCTATAGTGTTGGCTAAGGGCCATGTTGGCGACGATGGTATAATGAGTTTATCACATATAGGGCGTAATTGCTCGTAGCAATTACGGCGTCGTTTTTGTGACAAAGTTGTATTTGACTATTTATTTTCTTGATAGTCCAATATGTTTCTCACCGAGCTTTGGGCGTCAATCATATGCGTGCCCATTTGGCGACTGTTGTTCTCTGTTAGAGAGCGTCGTGATTCGGTGGCTTTATATTATCAGGATTCCTCCAAAATGTAAGCGCTAAGTGTTATAGTATATTAGTACCTAATATGAATTTAAGACATTTAATTTTTCTAGTCCCTTGCCTATCATATTATATAAAATGATTCAACTCAAGCATTAAGTCTAAAAGGCTGTTAATTCCGCAAAACAACGTCATGACTCTTATAGTGGCCGTGACAATATTATACTTAAATAAGTAGAACTATGCAGTAAAGCAAACTCGTCGGTAATAGATTATGTTTAAACCCGACCTATCGGCAAGGCAAAATTAAACTCAACGTGGCCGGGGAAATAAATGGGTCGAAGTCCGATATTCTCTCGGTTGTCTGCAGGTTGCCGCAATCCGGTGCGGGACGAAAATAGTCGCTAAAGCAGGGATCATCGTAGTGACGGTGAATAAACACGTCCCCCCCAGCAAGTCTCATTTTCGTCACTAACCAAACATAATATCGGGTGGTTTCACGGCTACCCGGAAGTAATACTGTAGTAAAGATTTTGGAATTCTGAAGATGCATGTGCCGGTACTGTAGTTCTACCCATCGGATCCGATAGGCTTGATCTTCGTTGTACAAGACTAGAGATCATAACGAGATTATGTAAAGATGGTCCAACAAGACCCAGAAGGGATAGCGCAAGGTATCAAAGGGTGGTAGGGTTCGTGTTGACTTGCATAAGAACCTTAGGTGACTACCTCTGTTATGTACGTTGTACATGTACGTAGATAGATTAGAAGCCGCTCTTCCTCGATGAACTGCTTTTCTTCGCCTTTCCTTCCCTCCCTCCTCTCTCAGTTGCCCTTTACGCCCTCCAAATTTTGTTAGCTAAAACCTAAAAACTATTACGCACTTAAATGTCACGCTAAGCGGTTCCCGAATGGTACTGGTACTTGTGTCGTTTCTCCGCCTTACCTTCTATGTGATGGTGACAGCCCTGCGAGGCTTTCCTATCTTAGATCCCTGAAGTCTCTCGCTTGTCCCGCTAGATAGGTCGGGATGTACCCATAGAAAAAAGGAGATCCACCAAGGTACATATGTAGCCTAACCTTAGATTATGTACTTGGATGAACATCTTTCTACTTCTTGATAGAACTATTTTTATATATTCTTAGGTAGAGATATTATTACCTTTTTTAATCGTTGTTATGAAGACTTTAAAACCTTGCTAATCTCATCTCATTTTATTTCTTGGTCCTTCTCATCTTGCGGACATCCCCCTTTCCATTAGGTAACCAACCACAGTATCCCTAAGACAGTGCGTAAGTGGTAATGATACTGTCAATTTGCACGGATCAGTGCACGGTCTCGGCCTGTGCCGGACAGCCGGGTTAGCGCGTTGCCTCGTGCCGGAAAACCGATCAAACCAGTCCAGGGAATTTCTCCAAACCGTCATACTTGGCATTCAAGAAACCCGACCTGTCGCATTGAAGACCATCAACATTTTTTACATCCTATCTTTCAAAGGAGAGTCCATTCGGCGGAAGATGACGAGCCACTCATTCATTCCATGATTGAACACACTCTTTACTCTGATTCCAGCTACGCTGTCTAACCTGTCTAACCTGTCTAACTTCGCATGATGAGCACGTCTCCAAGTATCGAACTCACCACCACCAGCAGCACAAGCTCGAGGCGCGGCCAGGGCCAAGCCGAGAACAGTCGCCGCTATGCGCCGCGGCGGACAGGAAGCGCAGGAAACGCAGAAGAGTCTGGGCTAGAGTCCCTACCGCTTGAGCTGCAGTACCTTATCATCTCTCACCTGGACTTGACGAGCTTGATCACCCTACGAGAGACATGTCCGTTGTACCGCCAAGTCATCACGGCTGATGTCGTCGGCAAGCAGTTCACTGCCCCGGACGGCGGACACTATCCCGTCCTGCAGAGCTGCTGCACTGAATGTCTGTGTATGCCGGGACTTGATCGCCTAATCATAGATACGACGCGTCCAAGCCACATGTGGCGGTCTATCTGTTTTCGATGCTGGCGTTATCGGATGAGCCGTGAGAACCAGCGCAAGCACTGGCCGCTGGTCCAAATGGTCAACGGCGACTATGGCTACATATGCCACTTTTGCACCTGGCCGGTGCACAGCGGCGGCTCTAGCAGCCGGATTAAAAACATGCATGCCCCTTGCCGGGTGAGGCGACTCGTCGTAGTTATATCATGGCTAATCATGGCCATCATACAATTCGGCCTCGGCATGCTGGCTGCTGTGCTAGCGTGGACCATGTTCCGGAATACGTCAGCAGTTTTAATACCTGCTACCGTATGTTTATCCTCACTTTCTCTTCGACATCCCAGTATTCTAACGCGACTCTTAGATCGATTTCTGTCTAGCGGTGATAGCAGTAATGATATTCGTGGTCCGTGTAGGCACCACGAACGAAGTCACGTACACGCGTGCGCTGGCTGTAGAACTAGTAATCACGTTCATCCGCATCCCCCCCGTTACCTACACCGCACGCGAAACCGTTATTTCTGAGACGACCCAGGGAGGCCCACTCCCTAAATTCGGGTTTGGCGTCTTTTTAATTAACCTGTGAGCCCCCTTACTCGTTTGACAAGGGTTATGATGCTAAATGTATTTCACTAGAATATTCCGGCTTTTAGACACGGTTGGCTACACATTGCTGAACTGCGGTTATGACCCACGGAATATTTTCCTAGGGCCAATGCCCTTGAGAAAGAAACTACTCTACGGGTTTTGCACTTTCATGGTGTGGTTTGCGTTTATACCATTTTGAAGACTAAATAGTTATAATAGGTGGCGAAGGCCTCAGGCTTGCCACATGAACGATAATAGCAGCACTAGATGCTGCAATGTTAGCGATTTTGCTATCGCTTTGAGCGTATGCCAATTTACATCTTCCTCATTTCCCTACGATGGGCATCATGACCCTAAGGGGTAGTTAGATTAGCAAATAGGGAATCGAACCATTTTAAGCCATACGACCTGGCCGTTTTGATGACTGTGCTCGTATCATGTCGTTACTTGATACTATGATGGTGCCCTTACATTAGATATGTCCTTAATATTCAGACTTACTATATTATATTAGCAATCTCTCAGTGAAGATTAAGTGCGATAATCCCGCGAAGACGGGAAGTCACCTACCCAGGTGTATACGGATATATGCCTCGATTCAATACCGGCCACGATAAGCACACTAGAGACAGAAATTTCGTTTACTTTCAACTAGAATGGACATGAATTGTAGACCACTAAACAAGACACTATCTGATGCAATGGGCTTGTTTGGTGTTCCTTCTATCCGTAGTTAGGGTAGGCCACTATAGATTAAGTGTCTATCTGGGTACCTAAAGTATGATAGGGGAATCAACCTTCTAAGATTTAAGTAAATGATTGAAGCTGGGATGGGAGGTAAAAGAGGGTTCTATTCTTAAAACTATAGACTAACTGGGGGCTATTATAGCTAGGGCAAAGAGCGGATCAGTCTTCTTTAGGCTCATAGTTCTTCGTATTTCGACGTGGTTATCGAAATAGACAGGTCTAAGAGATCTAGATAAAGGGGCTCCATGTAGGTGTACTCTTGGTCTCGGCTACTTAGGTTCATAGTCGTTCATACGATAGTTATCTGTATTGTTTTTTTTTTTCTTTTTTTTTTTACCATTACGTCGTATTGTACCATATGTTGAATCCGACGGATGTAGATATATAATGGTTTTTAGACGTGGGTGGCCTACGTACACCCGATCGAGGTCATCGTTCGGTCCACACGAGAATTGTATTTTTTATGCGAGGGAGTCTATGGATGGGTATATTTCCTTTTCGGTTATGGATAAGAAGAGAGCTTTAGGCCACAAAAAAAGAGACCAAATCGAGAAAGTACTTAACTTTTAGGTTAACTTTTAGGTTTAGGCAAGGAGGGAGGTGCAAAATTGGTGCTCGATAGGTACAATTCATATTCGCCAGAAACTAACGGACTGTGCTGTACCTTTACAGTAAAACTCTAAGGACGTGATTTGTCGCGTATATTGGCAAATTCATTAGGTTAGGTAGGTAAGTACCTACCTGTTATAGCCCTTAGGAGAGTACGAGATAGATAAATGCTTACCCTCCAGTACAGTTAAATGTCTAGAGGTAAACGAATTCATCACCATCATCTAGGCTAAGTATTTAATTCCTCACTGCCGTCTACTCTATTAAGGGTTCAACCTTGTCTCGCTCCAAACCTCCATCAACCGAGCAGCTCGTAGAGCAATGTCCCTCGCTTCTTTGGTACTTGTTTTCTCCGCCTCCTCCTTAAATCTCTTAGTCCAGAATGACCAGCGGTCCAATCGTAATCCGGATTCCCCATGGAAAAGTGATCCGCCCTTAAGCATTCGGCGGTCCTCGTTGGAAAGCTCTGGATTCGGATTCGCGGCCAGCCTTTCGACTAGGACTGGGCCGAAGAACTCGATATACGTCGCTGCAGTTATCAAGTCTCTGTCTAGTGCACTGCTCTTTGGAGGGTTCTTTTCCTCTTCAAGCGCATCGCGTAACATCCATATGGGCTGATTCGCAAAATGGATCACTCCAGCGCCCATGAGCCTGGCGGAGAAAGCGTGGAACCGTATCCAAGCTTGATCAATGCGTAGTTGTTCCTCTTTGATCTTTGATTGAGCAGGTCCATTAAGATATTCCCTAAAGGCGGCTGCGAGAACAGGAAGATCGGTCCACAGCCGGGACTAACCCCTTCATTAGCTTTATAACTTGATGCGTTTGGTAGGAATGAGACCCGGTTAACCTACTTGCCACACAGTGATTCCAGTATCGGACAGTAGGGTTAACTCCCTCATAAGCTTGACTAGTTTATCCTGGGCGGCATGTTCATACGGGATCTGTTCTGCGATAGAAATGATGCCTCCCCATAAATCAAAAAAGAAGCCATCATCCAAAGTCTTGCTGCCGCTCTTTGGCTCAGGTGGAAGCTTTGATATGGTGGCGGCTACTTGCGCAGTAGAGACAGAGCTGTCCAGCTGGAGATAGTCATTGAGAATGTTGAAGACGGCTTCATCAACGAGTACATCCCCCTTAATATCTTTTCGCTGCAGTTCGACCTTACTTGCCATTCTGTAACGGTAAGGTAGGATGGGTTGGTATTGGGAAACTTTGAAAATTCAATATAGTTGGGTTGTGGTTATGGCTGCTGTTTGTAATTGAGACCGAAGATATTATGGATCAATTACGACGAATGAATGAGATACTCGGAACCAGCACGTGTCTGCATGTTAGATTTCTTAGCGGACAACTTAGGTACTTTACATCATCATGTTTAAAACAACCCGGCTTAGCCTAAAGAGGAAGGTGATGAATGATATTACGCGTGGTACTGATCAAATAGGTCGAAGGTCGACTTGTGTTGATGCGATACAGAATCCACCAATATTGGCAAGATTGGAAATGCTTAAAATGCTAGAAACGCTAAAAGATTCCTCCGTCTGATGCAGTTCCGTCTGGACCTATGTATGAATGAATTGCGATTCCTCCTATCAGCGCCACCAGCTATGCAAGAAATAAAAAACAAACCAAACCGCAATCATAAATGATAATGACACGATAGGAAAGAATGAAAAAACATAATGCATGATAAGGTCATAATTCCGATCATTTTTACTCTTCATTATTTCTGTTTCGGCAGCGTGTCTAGCCCCATAGAGCTCAAGATTGACGTCATGCGCATGCGAGACTCATTTTCGGAGAGCGGTGTTGGAGATTGCGGCGGTCTTAGGTGTTGGCCTTCAGCGTGGAGGTGTGGGTTCAGGAATCGCTGCAAGTTGTAATTCACGTCAAGGGGGACATTAATATTGGGTCTCTGGGTTATTTCGGGAGTAGCGTCTTGACTAAGTAGATAATGCATATGAGCAAAGCCTCAACTTATTGGCTTGAAATAGCTTAAATTGAGGCACAAAGAGAAGAATACCTTAGGTAAGGTACATAAATTATACTCACTTTAAATACTGGACAGCACGTGCGGAGCCATCGACTTGGTCGTTATTTGCCATGATGCAATTTCCAATTAGAAACGTAGGGAAACCAATTGAGCTTTCCAGCACTATGGTTTAGGCTTCGTTTAGTGCTCGGCTGCAGCCGCTGGCAGGTAAGGAAGTTGGACCCTGCGCAAAACGCGAATCGAAGTGTGTGGGGTAGATTAGGTAAGATAGGCAGGCGCTGCAGATTAAAAAAAAAAAAGTGGTGATAAACTTTTTGTCGTATTTCGTGAAACTCTTTCCACAGCTGAACAAAACACAGCATCAACAACAGCGAATAAAACGAGGAAAATAGCAAAAACGACGTAGTGAATCAAGAAGATATCACATAACAGGTTATTGATCGACACATGAGTAACTGAGCCTGTCGATCGAGGGCAACTTGGAGGGCCAAACCTGAGATTTATGTAGAATCCAAGGACACAATCTTAGGATCAACCCTCCTCTTGCCCAACTCCCCAGGCTGCCTCCGCGATGCGCCGTGTGGTACTTCCACGGTCCAACCATCGACAAGGTATTCCAACCTTAACCCCCCACGAGGTAAGGCCAGGAGTGACAGGGGAACGTTAGTCTACCGGGAAGGAGGACGCTGTCCCCTGACGTGTATTTTCGGGGATTACATGATGTCATTGAGATTCCCCTTAAGTCCACCGTCTGTGTCGAAGGTGAGAGAGAGACGGCGTAAAACATCAGCTTGCGCCAATCGCGGGCGGCCGTGAATGGCTGGAAGCATGAGGCTGATGGACTCGTAAGACTTTTTCTCAGGGACCAAATTCACTTACATAGAATTTTAGCCCCCACCAGTCCACCAGTGCTGATCTCCTACCTGTTTGGAGACGCAAGCCGACAACCCGATCCAGTCAACTAAACAATTATGGGCTGATTTTCTTCTTCTCTCTTTGTTTCTTCAGATTCTATCTGACTGGCGGGAGTGGATTGCTACGTATGAGAAAAAGCCGATCGGGCAAACTTGGAACCCAACTATCATGAACAACATCTCAACCCGTGTCGCTCCGTCCCTAGTGACCTAGCATTTTAGCCCTCGTGATCACAACTTCAAGACGATCATGGCCTATTTTCACCAGAATATTGATTTAATAAGACCATTATACTACTATCAAGTATGAGTATCTCGTCAAAATGCGATGGTGGCAACGTTTCCACCATGGTGATCGCTTGGCCGCTTTTTTCAGAAGACCCCCACGGAATAACGAGCCTCTTTAGAACAAACGAAGCTCACCGAACGGCAATGACGTTGAATGCTTAGGAACGTCACGATGCAGAAATCTTCTATTGTAAACCAATGACGTACGTATGGGCATGGAACTAATTGTTAAGCTAGGATGTGAAGGTAGCGGCATTGATTGGCATTGGATCGCGCTTTACGGCAAGACTCTCTAATTCCGAAGTCTAGAACACCGAGGTTGCGTGCGAATAGTCCACGGGCAAGCAATTAATTAGGGGAATGTAGAGTCTAGACTGTCTAGACTGTCTAGACTCTTCGAGTTGTACAGAAATTTGACATTCATAAGAAGGGAGAGATTTTTTTTTTCTTGGCTACCTAAACTACGTCATCCCAGCTGAGAGGACGAAGCGGGAGCTGGGTGGGCGCAAAGCACGGCTTACCCCTGGACCCTGAATGACTGGCGTATGCAAGGCAACGGACCCTTAAAATTAGTCTAGGTACTATGTACATAATGGGGAATGGTCCCAGGGAACATGGAGTTTTGGGAAATCTCGATGCTCCGCAATCGCAAAGGCATACATACAAATAATCGACTATAGCGGCATGGGCTCGTATTCCCTCCGGTATACCCCTCCGATTATGAGCTTAGGTAATCAACTACAAATAGACATTTTGCTGATCCTTTTAGCGAATTAGGCCATTGCTGCCTGCGAATCAAATACGGTACCTAGTAGGCGAATAACAAAGTCAAATTCAGGCGGACCGTAAGGCGGACAATTCTAGCTTAGGTACGTACGGTATTAGATCATTGAGATCCAAATTCGCCTCGCCTACGGAAATAAAGGCAAACAACACCGGCTACATGTATTTACCCAAATTTGGTAGTCAACTATCAGGTTTTCTATCTAATACATCAATAGGTTGCCGGATTACTGCCCATGTCTCCGAGACAAGGCATGGTACATGTCTACATATGTACAAGGAAGGACGCCTTACCACAGATCTATCGGGTCTAGACTATTCGCATTTGCTGGGGTGCGAAGTCACAAGCATCCAGTAAACAGCTATCGTGACCCTCCCAAACCAGAAAGCTTTGACCCTCAAAAGGAATGGTTCCCATAGTGGCCTTATTCTGATGTCAACATGCATTTCGAATTGAACATTGACTTTAAAGATTTCGACGTGCAAATCATGCGTGAGTCATTGTAATCTGTCGCCAAAGCATTGAACGAGCTGGACGACGCGACAAGGCGTCCAAGACTATCATTTCTCGAAAACCTCGCTGCTATGTACAATTCAGGGCCCGTCTAGTTTCTTCATGACGGGCACTGCCGACGAGACGTATGTACGAATGAATTCCCTCACTTCTATTTTCCCTCGAGGTTAAATGTTAGGAGTTCTGTCACCCCTTGCCGAATCTCATTCAAAGGGTTCCAAACGTCCATGAACTCTCCCATGAGTATTTCTGGCCTGGTCCGGTAATCTGCTCTTCGACTCGTCCCCATTCAGGGCTTTATGCATGTCATATCAGCTCACATCATTCACAACAACTGACGTTTATAAATTTCGCCTTTAGGCGCGGGGAAGAATTGGAGTGCATCGAATGACGGAAGAGAGGGGGGCAATCTTACTGATTAATGCCATCCACATAATCTTGGGCCTCGATAGCGACGCAAGAACTCCTTCCCACCTTCTTGATGGTCTCAGTACCTTGCGTACTCTTTAAGTCAGCCGTCCCATCCATCCAATTGCATGAATACAGCACGACTCCAAGCTGATCGGTGCGTAGATCGGCAGTGATGCCAGAAAAGGCGCTAGCCAAACTGACGACAACGGCATCCTTGGGCGCATTGTCGATCAGAAAGTAGCCATTATAACCCTCACAAGCGCCGCCGCCGCCGCAGTTCCCAGAAAACTTGGGGTCGCTTCGCGCATGGCCCAGGAATAGACCAGGGCGGCTGGAGAAATCGTTGATGCTGTTAGGCTCCGCAGTTCCAATCTTGCCCGTAGGCAAGGCGCCGTCGTCCGCGACCAAGTACCGTTTCGAGTACGGTAAGTACAGAGTGTGGTTCCAAATCTGGTCCGTGTCTGGGTTCTTGAAGGCATCCAAATTGAAGTAGGTGTGCTGGGTCAGCATGAGCGCTTTGCAGACCAAGTTAGCAATGTAGGCATACCAAAGGCTACGTTAAAGGAGAGGAACGTACGAGTCCTAGCCTCAGGCGACGTCGCCTCCATCTTGATCTTCCATGCACCCCCTTTGACGCTGTACGTCACTTGGCCGTGGACAAGACCCAGCATTCCTTGGGACGAGTTTGACGCATCCTTGACGGTGAAGGTGATGGAGTCCTCGGTGGCATCAGTCACGTTCCACACGCGGTACGACCAGTTGTTCGTGCCGCTATGTAACGTGTTGCTCCCGTCGTTTATCTGGGTGGCGTACGTTGTATTGTCGATCGTGTACTTGCCCTTTCCAATGCGATTGACATAACGGCCAGGGATACTGTTATACACTGGATGTCCTGGGTCCTTGGCTAGAATCAAAGGTTAGCTCTCTCTCTCTCTCTCTCTCTCTTCCACGAGGACGATGTATTCTGGGGGCTCAATTACGATAATATTCTATGTCCTCGTATCCGAGCACTACGTCGACATCTTTTCCATTCTTATCTTTGACGAAGAGGTTAGTGAGCGTAGCTCCATACGGAATGAACTGGAGTGTGTATAAGCGTCAGTATATCTGTCAGCTTCATTAGGACACTATCGCCGAACCTGCGCTTTTATTCCCGACGAAGATATCGTGTACTTCCCATCCTTCCCAGGTTTCGGAGCTTGGGCAGCGGCAGATGTCGCTGCCGCCAAGACCGGCAGAGCTAGTATAGAACACCGCATCTCTTCAATTGGTTCCCGTCGAGCGAGTTTGGAAAGTAAGGTATCACAAGCTCAGCTTCGAAGTAGGAGAAACGGAGTGGACAATAAGCACAAGCACAGGCACACAAGTCAATCCTCGAGGAACACTTGGCTTATTACTACCACAACCTAGCATTTCGATATAGCCCCTCCCTCCCAATATTCCCTTAAATAGTTATGCGCGGGGGAAGGGCAGCATACTGACTAGCGCCATTAGCAAGAGCGCGCGCGTAAGCACAGCACTTTTGGGATCGTACCATACCGAGAGAGGCGATTCGGGATTAGTCTGGGGTACATAGTGGAAGGATGGGGGGTAAATAGCCTGATATGGCAGCAACCAGTAATCTCACGATGTTTCCGGGTTCCCCTTGGGGAAATAGTTGGAACAGCAACTAGCATATTCGGGGTAAATTCAACTTGAACAAAAATATAGGCGTCTGGCGGCTCAAATGTGCTCGACATTGAGCCATGGGCGCTTATGTCTTAGGCGCCTTGGCAGATCTGGCTTAGAAGTAAACATAAATTCATATAAATTCATATACGCCGCGGAGCTCCCAACGGGCTTTGCGGCACTCGCTATAGTATCAATAATCCGTAGCGAACTAGACCAGGTTTAAGCCTTGAACTACCCCTGGTTGTAGATGAAGATATAGAGATGTTACTGTGTTTAGATTACTCTAAGCGACGCTCTTTGTCTTGGGACTTTGAATTCAACCACGAGGTCTATTTAGTAAACTTATTGTAATCGCATATAGATATCGGGATGAAGATGTGATTTCCCCTTAGTACCTATTCATGTACCTATACGAAATTTTCTGTCATTAGGAGTTCTTAAATACCTCGTTGCGACTACGTCTACAATTGAAAATATAAGCAACCTCATGAAAGTTGGTACCAAAGTCTTACAATACATTCTACAAATTGCTGACAATCATCTGGTTTGTTTACGACACTCTGAGCTGAGTATAGTTATTTGACTCCTCGTACCTTCGAGCGTCATCAATGTACATGAACAAAGGAGAGAGATCCCCCTGGCTAACAATCGATTATGTCGCAAACAGACAGCTTTGTTAATACAAGCTTCTTTATACTGATAATTAAATGGAATGCTACGGGTTCGCTTTAGATAAAGCTACTCGATGTTTCCGGTTATATCTGTATTTCAGGACCAATTATGCATGACAGGTCCGAATAAAAGCAATCCATTTGTTCTAATAAGTGCCAGACATACACTAAACATCGTAGACCCCTAGCTTCATAGTAATCACGCAAATATTTGTCTATAGGTATTATCCTTACGAATACGAATTATCAATATGAAGGGGGAAAAAAACGGGACGGCGGTGGGCAAGCCAACTCTGAATAGACATCATCCCATCATCCAAAGTGTAAAGCGAGAACGGCACAGACACAATGCGGAAATGCGCCGTGTCAAACAAAACCTTGCCAAATTGGAAGCAGAGCAGGATCACTTATGGGTGGAAAACGAGCAGCTCAAAACTCTGTTAAATCACTTACCCGACGATAGTTCTTTAGATCAGTACGTTGCACGCATCGCCGAATTAGAAAAACAGAATGATGCCCTCGAAGATGAAGTCCACAAGTTACAGGGTCTGTCTGACGACGATCTCAAGGAGTTACGGGCTAAGAATTTTCCCACACACGCCCGTAATAGTATAACACGGGAGGACCTTGCTCTTGTAAGTCCGGTATCTTATCCTCTGCGGTAAAGCTTGCTCACCGGATATTTATAGGAATACAGAAACTTCGTAGATGAAATTATAAATCTCGTATACCAGTGGGTGCAACCCCTATTAGCAGACGAGAAACGCGCTGCGGAGATTATCCAAGCCGCCCAACGAGACGGGACCGCTAAGGAATTCATCAATTGGATGGAAGCGTACCCGGACATCGCCAGGCTCTCGTCTTATAACATATCAACCGAATATGTGATCCTAGCCGTCATCATGCGATGGCTAGAAATCGGCATCTTCTCGGCGGAGGTATGCGGCATGGCCCAAGCGACTCTTACCACGCTGGAGCACATCGAAGACTCCCTTTACCATCACGTCGAGCCAAAACCGCCGTCCATCGAGATCAGGAGATGGCGCCAAAATACAAATTACGCTCTAATACAGCATCCCGAATACAAGGCCATGCGCAACGCCCACGAGCAAGAACTAGCGAGTAACCTGCAGAAAGTATTATGCTTCCTACCCGGCGCCAACGAAGCCGGCATGCTCGACCGCATCCGCGACACGATAGTCTTCCGCGCGCTCGAGATCAACGAGCTGTTCGTCACCTCGGTCGACCACTTCCAGCTCCAGACATGGGAATTCCTCCCGGGAACCAGCGGAGCCGAAGTCACGTCCGCCGCGGGCCTATACGAGGAGCGGGAATGGTTCGAGCTCGAGGACCCGCTTGACAATTCCAACAAGGTTGAAATCACGGATAAGAGCCTCGACGAGACCAGACGGAGGCTTGATCCCGTCTGTACCGTCATCCCTGCGATCGTGCAGAGAAGGGCGGAGAACCCCGATGATGTTACGCTGTGCTGCAAAGCGTATATTGTTGCCGCGTGGGGGTTGCCGAAGACGAGGGAGAGGAAGTGGAATGAGCAGGTGCCGAGCTTTTTGAATGCGTTGTTGTCGTCGGACTAGCTGGCCTCGGGATGTTTTAATACTTATTAGGGAGGGGATGTGGATGCAGCTCGTCAACAGGGAGAAAACTATATCGGGTAGGACTGATACCTAGGGCTATAGGTTAAAGTGTCTTTAAGGGCATTGAGAGCTGCTGGGAAGTCTGACATGACATACATAGCACGGCCCTTTCTCCTTAGATTCGAGTTTCCATGTATTCTGCATCACGAGTTTAAGACAGGGTAGTTTAGCGGATTTAAATGAACTGTATAGTATTTTACATAGTTATCAAGACAAGAAACTTGTATAACATGGAAGCCTTGGGAGGTAACTATATCGTAGTGAATCGACATTAGGGAGTCTGGTGCTTTCGAGTGTTATGTGAATAACGTTTAATGAGCATGGGCATTACACGTAACTGACGGCTTCGGGGCCTGAGGACACGCTTAATATAGGGGGGGTCATCCCTGCGATAAATGAGAGAGATGACTTGGTCCTTTGAATTTGGATCTGCGATAGCCTTGGTGTCTAAAGATAAATTATCTTCAAGGAAATATCATCATCTAAGATATACACTTACCTTTCAACAATAGATAAAATTTCCCTATAATATAGCGTCATACCGGAAGAGCATCAACGAAATTTTTACTTTGAAGCACTCTCGTGTCTTCCTTTGGGAGGATGTCTTAATCATGCTTAGACGATAAATACATGGACACCTCAGACTCCATGCCGACCAATGCATAGTAGTAAAGCAGATTAATCTTGAAACTATAAAAAGCTAACATAATCTATTTAACCAGACTCTTAATGATTTCTTATCTATTAGTAATTTTTCAATTCTTGACATCGAGTTTAAATGTCGAGCTGATGCGAATTAACTCAACGCAACTACTAATCGCATGACGTCACTAGTATAGAACAAAACGCGCCAACTTCGAATATAAACCGAAAATGGGGTACAGTTGCTCCCCTACCAGTCTACCATAATAGATAACTTGTTCCACTCTTATAGAAGTCATTCATTGTATAAACTTGCGCACCAGACTAATAGGTTCTAGAAGCATTCTCTCTAAATATTGTGGGATATCTAAATATAACTTCCTGCGTCATATCCCACTAGAACGGTACGGTCCAATTAAGCGCTCCCGTCGCCCACACATTGGGGATCAGATAGGGTTATGCAAGTTCATATGGGGAACTGTAGAGATGTAAGGGCAATATTTAAGGCATTAGTAATAAGCAGCAATACAGTTAAACTACCTACCTGTTAATTAACTTAACAATACTGCTATTCATTAGCAATATACTCTATAGAAAAGTCCATCAAACACGCATTAAACAAGACATAATCACCTACCTAACTTGAACTACAAAGGTGCGAGGCGGCATTGTTTTAAAGTAACTCTTATTTGTCCAATGCTAAACATGAGACGTGAGCTTGAGAATAATTAAGGCTAAACATTTACTGGTCTTTGGTGACAGACAGCTAACGTTAACCAATACACAAAAGAGACAGAATGGCTATTCCATCACATCTTTTTTTTCTTCACTGACAACGTAACATAGCAGGACATTTAGTAAATGCCTGGCCAACAGAGTATCACCTCTAGTTGCCTTAACACCTGAAGGAAAATTAAGAGTGAGACCAAAGGGGCCAAGAGAGAATGTAGGAAAAGCAAAGAGCGAAAATCCGAGACTCTTCATAGAGTAAAACGCCATACAGGTCCATAAACAGATAGGCCAAGGTATAAGCAAAGTCCATATACACAGGTAGAGGCAAAAGATATAGAGACAACTCGCCCTTCCTTGGTAAAACCTTCAACAGGCCAAAAATCTTGGTACATGTCGCCACCGACTCCGTACATGCAACAAGTTAGGAACACACAAAAATTTAGCGGGTACCGCCGAGAGCACTAATTCTAGCACCGGACGGGCGGTGAATGAGGCTTGAAGCGTGTTTACCAACCAGGCCGGGCTCCTGTGATAACGTCTCGCTTTCGCTTCGCTCAGCCAAGTCGTCTTCGTCATCTTCGACAATCTTAGTGGGAATGTCGTTGTGGATGCCGTACTGCTGGCTCCCTCGCTCGGGAGTCGTCATAGTCGATGCCATAGACATGGCTGTGCTGCTTCGGTTGGGAATCAAGTCCGGGGTCGGAGGAATACTAGATGCTCGCCCGGAAGGGTGTAGGAGGCTGTCATCGCCAACTTCAGAAGTAGCAACCGAGTGACCATCGTCACTATGGACCGAAGATAGGTTGCTTGCCCGTCGGGGTGACCTGGATGACTCGATTTCGGCATCTTGGGCCAGCTGGAGACCCTCAACAGCGGCCTGACACTGCTCTGCAATATTCCTAATAATGTGAGAGATGGCATCAGTCTTGTCTTTGAGATGTCGGTCAGCTACGTCGGTAAAGCTGGCGGTAGAGAGGCGTTTGCTTCCTCGGCTAGGGTTCTTCAACATGTGACCTTTTAACCCAGACTCATTAGCAATGGAACCTGATTGTGAGTTAAAAAGTTCCTGTAACTTACCATCTTGCTGCTCATCTTCATCCTCATCGAAGCCCTCTTCAATCTCACCAGCCAAGTCGTCGCGTGTAGTCAGCGACTGAACTAAGTGCTCCATGTGGTGAGATTGTCCACCAATCAAGCTGCGCAGGTGTAAGACAACACGACGTGCTTCGTCACGTTGTCGCACAATAGTGACGTTAGTGTGCTGAAGGGCGGCCAATTCCTTCTTGTTCCGCTTACGCTCCCTCTCAAGCTCTTCAGCGATCTCCTGTTGAAGAACAAGCGCTTCGAGGGCATCGTCTCGCTGCTTCTCAGTGCCAGTAAGGCGAACTGAAAGACGGGCGTTGTCGTCCTTCTGTTGGTCAATGAGGCCACCAAGTCTCCTGTTCTCCCTCTTATGAGTCTCAATCTTGGTTTTCAAGTCTTGAGTCTCTTTAGTAAGCGTCTCAGCAAATGCTTGGAATTTGAGGAACTGTATTGTGTTAGTATCAAATTTTCATCACTCGTTAGGAGAACCTTACCTGCTGCTTCCAGCTCTCCAACTCTTCCACAAGGTAGTTATTCCTCTTCGTAACTTTGCTAAGCTCTGTGTCCATACGACCTTTAAGGTTGATGAAATCTTGCCACGCTTCTAGGGCGTCACGGGAATATTGGTTGCGTTCTCGAACAATCTCGTTCAGATGCCTCATCGAAACCTTCGTCATTAAGGGCTTCTTGACGGCGCCACCGAATACAGCCTTCAAACCCGTGTTACGGCCCTGACGAAATAGTTAGTACTACAACTAATAAAGTTTAGCCCAGAGGTTAAAGCACATACCATCTTCTCACAGACGTGGTCCATTACGGCCATTACAGCATCCTGATTCCACCACTCGGGATCTTGAATAGACTCGACTTCACCGCGCATGACAATGATTTGACCAGCGGGCACCAACTTTCCACCACCATAAGCGGAACGCAAATGCTGAGGGACACCGGAAGGCGTGACATCGCCGTTTAAAGCTTGTGTCAGTCGCGTCACAAATTTGTTACGCTGGTTTGCGTTCAGGGCGGTCGGAGGGCTGGATGTCAGTACAAAGTTGCGATCTAAATCGACAACAAGGGCATCATTCGGAGCAGTGAAAAGAGACCGGCACTCTGCAGTAACACCCAGGATGTACGGGCCCGGCTCCTCCACTAACTCCTTAGCGTGGCGAGCATGAACAACCGGTACGTAAAGGCCGCTCCATTCATAGACTCGCACGCAGAAGCGAATAGCCTCAGCAGCCATTGTCAACATCGCAGGATAATGGCTGACAAATATAATGCGTCTAGTAGGAGATATGGCCGCTTCGATGACACCAACAATGTTTGGGACTGAAAGACAAGTCCACAAAGGCCACATAGCGAAGTTTTGGAAACCCGTAGGGGACGAAGGGAACTGGTAACAGAGGGCGTAATCCTTCATGTCTATGCGGACCAGGTCATTCAATCTCGGCGCGGGAAAACTGAGAATTCGCGATACCTCTTCAGCGTGGAAGAGGTTGGTGGCCTTGTTCCAGTGAATCCACATCCCTCGCAAGTAGTCGCCAAGAAGGTTGTACAAGGGGTATCGAGAAAGAAACGACAAACAGTACGGAATCCAGTAAGTCTCATCTGCATTGTCGTAATAATCCGTCTCGGTTCGTTTCCTCAGATCCCTAATAGTCTCTGCTCGCTTCTCGTCCGCCCTTGACCATACACGCAGACAGATGCCATAGAGAGTGTGAGATGAATCCTGCTGGAGAACAAACGCATGGTGAACACAGTGTGGTTGACTGCGGCCGGTGCAGATTTCGACATCGTGCGGGAAACAAGCCTAATCCAATTAGAATTTAATAAAGCTATTTTTATGGGAAAACATACCCTCATAGCAGCGTGTAAGGCTCGAGCAACATCGTTGTCCTGTTCAAGGCGAGGACTGCTACCGAGAATTTCTGGGAGCCAGAACTGACCGACTGCGCCCTTCATATGACCAATCTTTCCTTGAGTCGGGGCGGGAGCCTTAACCCATTGAGAAGGCTCTCGGCCGACACCACATACCATGTAGGCATGAGTTAGAGTCTTCGGTGTTCGCTGTTGGGGCTTCGAATTGAGGGTAGAAGGAATTGGCTGCGTAATACGAGAGTGAAGAGATGAAGTCCTGCTCGGAATGATCAAGTTGGTATCGCCCTGGTCGCGCGTACTCGGTCGAGCGTCACGGTCGCTAGTACGCGGGCGCGTAAAAGATGAGTGTGTATTAAGTGAAGGCGCCATGATGGATAATTGTGTACGTTTCTTCGTTTGATTCGTTTGTCGCTATCCTGTGGAAAGATCAAATTAAGAATAATATAGCAGCAACTAGATAGACCGAGTTACTGCTCAACCCAATCTAGGCAATCATGAAGGGATTATGGCATGAAACTGCTCCCGTCAGAGACCCTCCCTTGAGATTTGTTTCCGATCTGGTAGACCAGAAACAAAGCCACCAAGCTGCTCAGCGACGGTAACGACAGCGGCGATGAGCTGTGCAGCTTTGCTGTCAGAATGGGAGACAGAATACAGTCTTGCTGCAACTGCTTAAGTGGGGGGGGGGAGGGAAAAGCAGAAGGGAGGGTTGAAAAGACGATGCTCTCTAGAAGAGAGAAAAAGGAGAGACGAGACGTGAGGCAAGAGGGCCTTCGGTGGTAGAAAAGGGTTTGTCGGAGACAGAGTACGAGAAAGGGATATTTGCCCCGAATGAAGCAGCCAAAAAGTCAATGCGCAGGCTCGAATTGTCTCTTTTTCTAATGACCCCTGGTACTTCGTACAAAGAATAATGAACGACCTCCTAGGATTACACCGGGATGAATTGGGACAGTGACGAAGTGTGACAGGGCCGACAAGGACCAAACGAAGTCAGCTTCAAGAACAGCCGTTGTTACAATTTGCTAGGGACGGGGAAATAAGAAGTGGGCATCTACTGCAATCTACTGCAATCTACTGCAAAAGATGTGCAAGATAACTGGCGTGTCCAGGGGATCGACACTCAAGAAGGAAAGAAGGGTACTATGTAACGAATACTCTATTATAGGTGGGGGGGACACTAATACAATTAGTGCCTGAGTCCTTTTTTGCCCTAAAACCGCTGGAAGTCGCACCTTGGAGATATCGTGCAGGCCGCGAATGCAACGATAGCCTCGTACTCAGTACATTTGACACCTAATTCAGCAGGGGGTTAGAGCTATCCCCAGACTAGCTCTCCTGTTAGCGCGACATCATGCTAGGGGTCCCTGGCAGCTTCAAAATTTCGACAGCCCCACTAGATTTCACATCCTAACGAATAACAGGTCTACTTGTGTAACAAAAGTGGGGCAGCGTGGGAGAACTAGAGCTGGTTAGCCTTGAAAAAGGGGCCGTTATTGTAAAAAGCCCACACCGAAAACCATCGTCAGACGGTTCGCCGTACGCCGTACGCCGTACGCCAAAAGCAACATGACAATCGAATTAAGCTCATACGCATCGAGATAACCGCCAGATTTTAGGTTTGTCTACCTAGTAGGTATGCAACGAATACCTAGCAAAAGGTTTAAGAGGATAATTGGAACTTTGAATTGGTAGAAACAAGAATAAGCTATGATTCGAGATAGTTGCTGGGATTCGCCTTTATCGGTAGTCCGCAATATGTCTCAACACAGTGTGAACGAAGTTAGATATAGGAGGTAGATATATCTAAGTCACTTAAGCAACAGAACTTCCTCGTAAGAAAAATGAAAGAGAAAAAAAAAACAATTGGTGGTGGTGGTTTTCGGCAATTCATTCTAACAATACCATTATAAGAACTTGCATACCTATATCTAAATGTAATGGGGGTATGCTTGTTAACATCGTACTCTTGTTTCTTGTAAGATAATAATATCCAGGGTTATATTGCATCAGATAGCCTACCTTACTTGAGCTACGTCTCAGATTGAAAGAAATTCCGCGAGACGGCGTAGAAATATTATTGTTCTACAGCAGTAGCACATGCATAACACATATGATTTTCTTGTCTCTTGAATCACTTCCTGCATGGTGGCTGGCACCATTGACTCGGTTATCTCAACTTGTCACCGACATGAGGCCTCATGCCGTCAAAGAGATCTCTAAATTGATGATAAGGCGTTTAGCCTATCTGGCATACTTCGTACATGTAGATATATAAAAACAGACCACAAGAAAGTGTCATGATTAAAGAGCGCACAGTACGAGGTAATAATTCGTAAGACATATGTACATACCTCATACTCAGACTTACCATCATAGAAACCTCTATTCGGTTGTTTTCCTCGCTAACTGCGTGGTTTATTAGACGATTTAGTCCACTGACTCTCATGAAAACTTCCAAACTAGGCAATTCTTCATTTCCCATCTCCTATGTTATACATTGAGTAACGTTAAAGTGCCAGGTAAAATTTAATAAAGTGCCAACCCATCCACTTTGCACGTGATATACGCCACCACAAGCCACCACCACCACATTAAAAATGGCCCGTTCGTTCGACCTTGTAAACACTCCCATTTAATAATTATATTATAAAAATACACGTACATCGTTACGAAATAAATCGAGAAAATTTTGGACAGATTTTTCGATTTTTTTTCATTTAATTATTAAAATTTTAATATTTTTTACAAATTTACATAACTTAAATTTGTAAAGTTATTAATAATATAAAAAATTATTAAAGTTAAAAATTATAAATTTAGCCGCATTCGGGTCAATATTGGTCCGAATCACGTGCAGTTAAATTTAAATTTTTTATTATTTTTTAATTAAATTTATAAGGTTTTTTTTACTAAATTCGGACCTATATTTATAAAGTTATTATATATAAATAAAAAATTTTAAAAGTTTTATTTAATATATATTATTTTTTATTACGTAATTAACATTATATTTTATTATATTATATATTATATTGTATATTATTTTTATATTATTTTTATATTATTTTTTTTAAATTTTTTTATATTTTTTTAATATTTTTTATATATTTTTTTAAATGTTATATTAATTTTTATAAAAAAATATATATAAATATAAAAAAAATATTTTAAAAAGTTAAAATAATAAATAAATGTATAAAAAATTATTATAATTTTTTTATAATTTTTTATAATTTTTTACATTTTTTTACAATTTGTTTACAATTTTTATATTTTATATTATTTATATAAAAATATGGTTACATTGCAAATGGAACATATACATGGATTTAAACGAACGGGCCATATTTTACATGGCCGTGCGTGGTGGTTTTATGTGGCATATGTGGCGTATGTCACGTGCAAAGTGGATGGGTTGGCACTTTATTAAATTTTACCTGGCACTTTAACGTTACTGTTATACATTTGAACTTATGCACGCTATGGCCCACCGCAATGGCTCATCCCTTCAAGCCTCAAGCCCCTCCATCTAGCGCAGACAATTTTAACATCATGATCCTTTCAAGCTTTATATCAATTCTTCACTTGTCTACTCGATTACCCACAAGACACGCTTCTCGTCGTTTTCTATGAATCAAGATAGACCCGGGGCAATGGATTCGCTCCTCTCTTCAAAACCCCCTGGCAGTCCTGGATCTTTTCGCGATTCGGAGAAGGGTGGCCCTTGAAACGTGCCGGCTATTGCATAATACTGGTTCCAATGATGTTCCAAGTGAACTCGATCGACTCGCGGGGTGGACGTCTTCCCGCATTGAGATAGCTGCAGATGCAGAGCGGGAAGCAACACTACTTCTATCCACAAGCCGAACAATCAATACGTAGAAGGATTCAGACCCATAATGAAATAGATGCTGGCATCATGTTTAACATACGTGCTTCGATCCCATCAATGGACGGCTCTAGGCGCAATGTTTCGGTTCCATCAGGCCTCGATTGGGCCAAGACACATCGTGCTGCAAAGCATTGTGATAGTTATCAAAGCTGTTCTACCAATCGGCTCAGTTGCAACTTGCAGAGGCCATTGGTTGATCCCCCTCGCTATTGGTAAGTTGGTTGACTACTGCACAGAATGCTGCCAGGGGATCAAAGGGGGTCCTTAACACGTCTATTATTACAGCGTCCTCCCCAGTTTGCAACTCTACCCTGTCTTTCCAGCGTATGATGATTTGAATCACATAATCATTATGATAAGAGTATCCTACTATTGCCCAGCTCGTGTTTTTCATTTTACATCGTCACTCCCAGAATTAATTTGAGCCTTTTAATACGCGTCCGTACATATAGGCTATATAGAACAATATTATACCAACAAACAAGGTCTAGTTCCTAGAAGTCAACTCTTCAAACGATACCTACATATCTTCAAACAGCTCTCTATCCACATAATAGTCTACAACGATCTGCACAACTTCTATGGTAGCGAAAGCTTTCGGCAGACTCCCCAGAGATGCTCGCTGCATTAAATTGAACCGTCGATCCCACGTGTTTTAATCTACAATGATATACGGCCCCCAAGCAGTCGGTACTACCTACACTAGTAAATTGAATTAGATTATCAATACTAATCGCTGGTATCGCTCTTCTCGATAGCCTTAGAATAGTCGAGACGTTGATGAGATGCTTACCAGAACTGTCAACACGCCCAGCGGTTTTTACGTACATCACTTACACTAGGTCTAGCTCAATACTTTTAGCACAATTGACAACCGCACTAGCCCGCTTCAGATCTTGGTTTACCCCTGGCTTCGGTTACACTAACGCGAGATACATACTAGACGGGATTAGTATGCGATCCGAGCTCATGGCTACCTAGGTACATACCCCAATACTACCTCGGATTCTTCCCTGTTCCACGTGATTATTCTTTAGATCAAGGCGAGCTCTCAGCTCAGGCGATCCGAACCAAACGTCTACGCTAATAGCTCTACGATATTCTTTCACTCCACATACAAGCAAACGTCCTCCCCCCGTCTCTTCATCAAGGATCTTCCTTATTCAAACCTATATATCCAGTGCTTGGTCACGACGAACCTATATAGCAGTGTTTCTATTTGATTACTTACATCTACTTACTAACATCTACATTCACAGCTAACAAGTGCTCCTCTAATTTGTATGGCTTGGCTAGGGCACTCACATTAAGGTGTCAAAATTGCCTCTTTATTAACACTCTTCCCCAGACTTTAAAACAACGAATTACGCGTCGGTATCCCCTCCGATGACTCCGCTAGCTTTCCGGCCCTCCCCGTAGGAATCTTAGTCGATCGTCCTTCGAACTATAAAATCTTACGTCGTGTATGAAATCCCTTTTCGCTGGTTATACGAACCCTCATAAGCTAGTTTAAGCATCCGCGTCCCCTCGAGGCCCGTCCCACGAGCACCACATTCAACCCAATGCGATAGTATTTCAGCTTTAGTGACAGCCTTTGCCGCCAGTCCTTTCGCTTACGTGTCTAACCCCATGACTCTTGTCCAAATAGCGACAATAACCAGCAAGCAGACACATAAAGAGCCAGGGCATCTTCGCACGACTACTGGACGTTTTCGTTCAGTCCCATCTATCACTCTTGGTTGTTCGTATTCGCTTTTCCTGTCTATCTTTAACCCCGAAAATACACCTGACCGTTACTACCTATGTGGTATAAACACGACGAGATTCGGAAGAACTCGGCCCTAGTGGAACCACGATATGCTAAATTAATTACCTAATACTAGCATGAATATTCCGTACAGGGGGTAAGGTTTCAGCACATACCCGATGCTTCCGACGTAGAGACGGGGTCTACGGCAAGAGTAGTTGGCGTACCTTGTGTGTTATAGATAGATAAATAGCCATTGCCATATGAACGTATAGCTTCGCATTTAGTCTATGTAAACATGAGATCGTCAATTCTTAAATAAACATGACTATCCAAGGTAACCTTTACACACCATAGAGAATTCGTGTCTAAGTCAATCTTCTTCCATACTTCCCTCAGTTTCCGAGGTAAGATGTATTGATAGGTATATTCAAAAATTCACGCTGATACATATCTTGCTACTCACTAACTTGGA